TAAGAATAGTAAATTAAGCAAATGAATAGATTTAACTTAAAAAAAAAAAAACCGATTTAATTAAAAAATCGAACCGAATACTCACTCTTATTCAATATTCGAAAATTTAATTTCTCTCCTCTAAATTTAATTCAAAAAAAAGCTGAGGGTTTAGAAACTCAAATTGGAAATTAGAAAAAATAATAATGAAAAAAAGATAGAATATGGGAAACAATGATACCCCCACATATTGGGACGAGTAAGATAATTGTTTCTGATAAAAACAAGAATTGATTGGAATTTTAATTGTCTTTAATTATAATAAGTTGTAAGAAAAAAACATCAGCACTTGATAATTTCAGCTCGTAGTTGCTTCCCATTCAACTTGCATCACAGCAGACATAATTAATGAAACCTATCCTTTCCCTTCACTTTGCTCTTTTGCTTCTCAACTCTAAAGATTTCTTGCCCTATTTCTGCCTTTTTTTTTTTCTTTGAAGCCAATCAGAAAACGCCCAAATTTTAAATACATAAAATTAATTATAAATACAAAATTATAAAATTTTCATTCATAAAAATAAAAATATATCTCGATAATAATAGAATAGCATTATTTCCGGAGCATATTTTGTTAATGATAACAAAATTTTACGTAGGATTTGACCCTATATATAAGCATGTAGTAAATATATATTAGTATTAATCAATAAATTAAAAAATTTAGAGAAAATATATTAACTAGTTAGATATTTTGAATAAATATTTCGTTTTAGGTAGCACTAATCATGATTAAAGTGTTCTTTTTAAAAGGTTAATTAAAGTGTTGTTGATTAAAAGATTAATTAATTAAAATTAACATATCATTGGAGCATAAACAACAAGAAACACCTAAAAGATGAATAATTCAGTAATAGAAAAAAATATACCTATATAGTATATTATATATATTATTTATAATATTTATATAATGATCTTCTCACATGCACTATCATGAACCAAAATTTATATACATAAAAAAGCTTATTACTATTGGTGATAAAGAGAGAAGAATATCTGTCTTGTTCTGTAAAGCACAAGAAGGCAGTCAAAATTGCAATAGTCTAATTCTCTTTATATTTTTCTTTTCTTTCTTTTTTTTTTTTTTTTTAACATTCTTTGTATTTGTTAGTACAAACACTTTACGAATGATTGAAAATGAGACATCTTGGTGTACTATATTAAATTGAATTAAAGTGCTTTTTTTTTTTTTTAAGAATAAAAGCGAATTTGGTCCCTAAATTTATATACAAAGAACAAAAATATCATATTTCACCTTTTAGACCAATTTCAACAACAATTCACACAAAATTGTTTAATTTAATCCATCTAGAACTAAGTTAAAGTGCGCGTCAAGCAGGCCTGTGATGAAGCGATTAAACTGTAGTAAATTATTAACTCTCCTTCTCACAAACACCCAAACCCACAACTATCCATCTCTGCAATGAAACTTTCCCAATCTCTTCCTCTTTTTTCTTTTTTTTTTTTTTTCCAAATCTATTTGTATCAATCTATATTTTTATTTGAGTTTTCTTTCCCCTCCATCGCCACTGTTAATCAATACCAAGGCAAAACTCTGCGCTTAAACGATATCGTTTATTAATCTTATTTTCTATAGATGTGTTATTATTTATGCTCATCTAGTAATATCATCAAGATGTTATTCATGTTTTTTCTTCTTTTAATTGAAAAAATCCAACTAATTGTCATCGAAATTGTATGTCAGAGAATTCTGATAGAACTTTGAAACATAACCTTGGAAGAGCAAGCTATATTAGAAGATAGTTAATCAAGGTGATTTCCTTTTTAGTCTTTTTTTTCCTTTTAGTTTCTTTGAATTTGTTGCTTGGATTGGGTTATTGTAAATTTTGGGATTTTTTTTGACATTTTTTTTTACTTTTGTTGGATTGAATCCTTTTATGAGAAATATATATTTACAAATTTTACGACGATTATTAATAGAACTACTGGATTTTGGTGACTAATTCATTGTATTTTATAAATTTCAATTTGCAGATGAGAAGGGAATTTGAGATGTGTGCTGAAAGAAACAACCGCATGAAGCAAAAAAATGCATATGTATTTTTATATGATTTTGATTGCGTGACTTTCACGCATATTTTCTAGCCCAAAATGGGTTAAATTGGACTATTTTGTATGAGTTGCTGTTGAAATTGACCCAAAATGTGAAATATGAGCTTTTGCTATTTATATACAAGTTTATGGTCTAAATTGGCCTTTATTTCTTTTTTTCTCTTTATAATTAAGTTAACATAATTGTAAATTCCGAAGTAAAATTAGTCTCGTATCCAAAACGAGTATGGAATAACTGTGATTGAAATTAAAAAAAAAAAAAAAAACATGAGATCACTGTCAAATTGCTAGAGATTATATATATATATAAATATTAGATTTGGTCATGTCAATTTATAATTAAAGATGATAATAATTGAACAATAATAATATTTGCTTGTACCATCATCCAAGGCAAATATTAAAGAAGTTTGACCTAAATGGATTTCTCTCTCTCTCTCTCTCTCTCTCTCTCTTATATTTCATTGCAAAGTGATATCACAAATCACTTTCTATAATTAAAAAGAAAAATTATTCATGCTATACGCAAGAGATTTGCTAAAATATAAAGAAAAAAGAAAAAAAAAAAAAGGAAGAAAATGTCCTTCAAGATTATCCTTTCCTTTTTACTGGGGGAAGACCAAACCTTAAATAGGATAAACCTTTTGTTTAGGTTTCTTTCTCTATATAATAAAAAAACTACAAGTAGCTTTTGTTTAAGCGCTTTAAATTTTAAGATAGGTATCTGCCAAGTTTGTGGTCAAGCTTCACGAAAAGTATTTTTTTCTTTCTTTTTTTGACATTGACAAGCTCCATGAAAGTTAATAGCAAGCAGGATAAGCAACCTAATTTCCGGAGAACACTGAACTTTTCACTTTTTGGTTGGGAAAGTTGGAAGTGGTAACCAATTACAAGGTGTTTGTTGCTTGTTAGAACATGAAAATGGTTGCCTGACTTGTCTTAGCAAAATCATTCTATTTTTTAAAAGATGATTTTGGCCCATCAAGATGACAGAAGACAGGCTACTAATATCCTAATTACCAATTGGAAATGCAAAAAATTAGTCAATCCAATTTCATTAAACTACTCTTCGTAATGCAATGGAATTGGGTGGGGGAAAGGTAAAGGAATGGAAGAAAAGAGCTTTTCGTGGTTCTATTTTTCCTTTTCTTCATTTTTTCCTTTATTTTTTTATCAGATTTGAATCTTTAACTTTTATATTCTCTCTATTATTGTTTTTCTTTTATTTGAAAACAACACAAGTAGCTTGCCATTATCATTAAACTAATTCTTTTATCCTGGCATCTTATATTCAATTAAGCATATATTATAAATGTACCAACAAGTATTGAGACAAGGAGATTAACATTCTTCTCTCTTAAGTGAGGTCAAATGTTATATTTTCATAGATAAAACAAATACTTGATGAGAGCATTATACCTCTCAATGGACTGATCCGATATGAATAAGATTTAATTTTAACCCAATAAATTGGAAATTCATGTAGTTAATATAAAAAAAAGAAAAGAGAAAATATACTACAAATGTTCTGCAATAAAGCAGACTTAACAATTGCAAAGTCATCATCATCATAAATGACATTCAAAGCCGATTAAAGGACTGCCTGGCCCAGCAAGAGCAATACTACAAATCCATTTTTGGGTAGAACTAGAAGTTTAGAGGAGCTTAGGTTAGAATCCAAGACCAAATTATACAAGAGGACAGTCTGGAATAAGGCAAAAGGACCAATTATTCAAATCCTAATAGTTTCTATCCCTTCCAAAATTTCTGGTAGAAAAAAGGCAATCTTTTATTAGTTCTGTAAAATAAGATAGTGTTGGGTGGCCAGGTTCCAAAACAGCAGGTTCTTTTGGCTTTTCTTTTCTCCAGTTTCAACATTTTTTTTTTTTTTGCCTTCCTAACTTTCAATCTGGAGTCTGCCACTGTTGACAAGATTCAGCTTGAATAGGTTCCAATTCTGATTCTGAATCAATCTTGGCCACCCTATTCCCTTCGGTATAAAAAGTTGCTTTTCTTGAAAAAAAAAAAATTGATATAGTTTTCTTGCAATAGTAAAATAGCAAATATTATCATCTTAAAAAAAAAAAAAAAAAAAAAAAAAAAAAAAAAAAAAAATCACATAGCACCATCAGATATTCATTATTGATTTTCTACTTTCTGGTTCATCCCTTTTGTAAGACTGTCTAAAAAACATTGAGAGCAACTTATACCTTGTGAATCCATTCTCTATATGAAAATAATTTCAATGACAGGCCTCTTTTAATTGAAAATTTATGTATCTAAAATTTCTGAGATGTGACTTTAGCTAAGGTCTATCATGCCAAGATGAGAATGGAGCTTCAACTTTCATGTTGGCTCATACTAAAGTTTGTGATATGACATTTATAGAGCAAGACATTTATTACAATGATAAGACTTCTTCAAAATTCTTGAAGATGAGATGCCTATTAGCACAGGATGAATCAACAGAGTTTCATTTTTTCAAGTGTCATACAAGAAGCATGATATGAGTAGTCAGAGTGGCAAAGGTCATGTATATATATATTTCGAAAAAAAAAAAAAAAAAAAAAAAAAAAAAAAAAAAAAAGAATGGAAAAAGCAAGGTACTTCGTTTTTCTATCTATAGGGTCCACAATTTTAGTGGCATCCCTTAGTCAGTGAACAATTGACAGCTCTGTGTTTATCTGAGGAGAAGAAGAGTATGGTGTTTGTTGATGCCATCAACCAGACCATACTTTTGTCATATAGGAAGCAAATGAAATGCAATAGAATGACAAGGCAGAACAAAGTAAAATGAGGTTTTATTAAGTCATTCCTATAGTTTATCTGGTATAAATGAGTTCAACAAAAGTTTGATATTTTTACTTAAACCAAAGGGTAGAATTTATAAATGAATTCTAAACTAACAAGACTCAAAATTTTTTTGATAGAATTTGCATTGAATACGTAAACAAAAAATATGAAATTTCAATTACAAATGAATTTCACACATTTGCAAAAATAACATTTGTTCTCAATATGATGTGATAAATTTGAAACGCAACTTATGCCAGAATTTCAATTACAAAGACCCTTATTGTGTCAAAGCAGCAGCAATCTTCTTCTGGACAAGCTCCACTCCAAGCCGAGGAGATATTCGAGGAAGAATTTCCTGAAAAAAAAAAATGTGATGTCCAAATGCACATCAAACTTAAAAATTGTTCAGGACTGTGTTGCAGAGGGTCATCCCACTGAATCACTGTCTAATCATTCACAACTCCAGGTGACAAAGTGGGCTAACCATAAACTATCACAAGAAATTTCCAGTATTATTTGCCACTACATGAATATTCTACTTGGGTGCCCAATAAAGTGGGTTTGATTTGATTGCCAACAGGATTTGGCAATTAAATGCAAATTTATTTGACTAGTGAGAATCCAGCTTGGCAAACTCAAAAGCAAGGGTAGAAGCCTAAACCATACCCATAAACAGGACCAGAAGATAGCAGAGTGCTTGATATTCTGTAGAGGGTACGTCTCTGTCAAACGGCACTTGAATCAGGATAAGACATGTAACAGATGTATTCGTGTGTTTGCACGGCATATTGATGGGCGTATCATAGGAAATAGCACCAGGTGTACAACAGAAAAAAAAAGGAATGAAAAGGAGTGTATAAACTGAACTAATTTGGACCAGACAGACCAGGAAAGTTATGAAATATCATGTGTCATTGCCACATGAATGGAGTGAAAAATGAAATTTAAAGACGAGGATGACAGAAATTGTTTATCATTGCCATTTATCCGCATGCAGAACAAAACTTTGCCAATGCCAAAAAATCTAATGGTCATCGAACCTTTCAACAAATTATTAAATTGATTGGCAATGGAGTCAGATATTGGACCCAGGACAAAAAGTTGATTATGTTTAAATTAATATATTACAGATAGAGGATTACTAGAACCCTGCAAACCCCAAATATGACATAGGCCCAACACATGGAAGAGAAACAATAAGCTTACTGCAAACTATTCCACTAAAGAAGCAGCAGCTTTGATAGAAGATTTTTAGTATATTGGAAACTTTTAAAGAAGAAGCAGTTATTGCCGATTGAACACTTTGTTACTCTCTTACAAGTTGACCTTGAAACTCAAGCACAATAGGTTGCTCAAGGGGAAAGGAGGACAAGGTATTCTCCTAATGGGCATGATCAATAAAAGAATTGCATCCGTCTCCTTGGTCATGTCCTGCATTAATATATTACAGATAGAGGATTACTAGAACCCTGCAAACCCCAAATATGACATAGGCCCAACACATGGAAGAGAAACAATAAGCTTACTGCAAACTATTCCACTAAAGAAGCAGCAGCTTTGATAGAAGATTTTTAGTATATTGGAAACTTTTAAAGAAGAAGCAGTTATTGCCGATTGAACACTTTGTTACTCTCTTACAAGTTGACCTTGAAACTCAAGCACAATAGGTTGCTCAAGGGGAAAGGAGGACAAGGTATTCTCCTAATGGGCATGATCAATAAAAGAATTGCATCCGTCTCCTTGGTCATGTCCTGCATTAATATATTACAGATAGAGGATTACTAGAACCCTGCAAACCCCAAATATGACATAGGCCCAACACATGGAAGAGAAACAATAAGCTTACTGCAAACTATTCCACTAAAGAAGCAGCAGCTTTGATAGAAGATTTTTAGTATATTGGAAACTTTTAAAGAAGAAGCAGTTATTGCCGATTGAACACTTTGTTACTCTCTTACAAGTTGACCTTGAAACTCAAGCACAATAGGTTGCTCAAGGGGAAAGGAGGACAAGGTATTCTCCTAATGGGCATGATCAATAAAAGAATTGCATCCGTCTCCTTGGTCATGTCCTGCATTAATATATTACAGATAGAGGATTACTAGCTGTTGAAGGGGCAGCAAACAACCACCCAGGACAGCCAACCTGCCTGCCTGCCTGCCTAAATTTAAAAGTAAAATCCTTCCCTCGAGCCATTGATCAGCTAATCTGCAACTAAGCTTCCACCGCCACTTCTTTTGAGCTCAATGCATCAGATTTTATGCCCCTATCTAGGTCAATTTTTCATTTGAAAGGCCAAGCTCCTTCTGGATCTGGACAAAAACAAAACTGTAGAGTCTGACAGAAAACAATAGAAACCCTGATCCTAATAAATCACCTCAATATGGACACTAAATCTCAAATCTTATGCTTTTGACTTAAACTTATATTCAATTCATAGTCTACTGTGCTGTAACTAAGAGCGATCTACAACCAATCATGCACCATCTACATCCAAAATCAGTTCCTCTAACTCCGCTCCTTCAAAACTGTCACTTACCTGGAACAGGAAGGCATCCTTAAACGCTGTACGTAGGGATTACATCAACTTTAATCTTTTCATTCATCTAACACTGACTGATGCAACTCTATTGGAGCACACACCAATTACGTGTTCCCACTGAGTTCAGCAACAATTCAAGCATCGCCATGACATTTTCACTCTCATTCTACGGATAGAAACCCTTAAAATGCCTGTAACTTAAGGTGATGCATTTAACCATACAGGTTGATTGTATGAATGAGCATAGCTGAATTTCAACCCTTGAGTCTTAAACTAGTGATGGATAATAACAACTGCTGAGTCCCTTAGGCACAATACGTCAAATCTCACCTCACCTCCATTCTTCTTATTGGAGCAAAACTCACAGTGCATGTATTTCGTCTTACTTTGCTTAAGTCTAGAACCCTTGCTCTCAAGAGTATTCCTCCATTTACTCCCTCGCTAGTTTCATCAATTAAGACAATATCTTTTGGAAATAATATGTACCATGGGACATCATCTAGTATTATACTGGTTAGCTCATCCATAACTAGGGTAAATAAGTACATGCTGAAAGCAGATCCTTGATATAACTGTACACTTATGGGATAAAATTGTCAAAATGCATTGCTGTATATACCTAACTCTCAGATGTGTTAAGGAGCTCAAAAGAGGGTAAACCTTATTAATAATAACAAATTGCTGCTTCCTAGAAAGACTGGTTTTAAGAATCTATGGGGTTGGGCCGCAAAGACAGGTTGCAAAAACCACACACAAGCTGCACCTAGACCTGATCATACTGCTGGCCTAGCCGGTTATATCAGGTCTAATATTTTAATGCACGCCAACCCCGCCTAACCATGTGGCTCTATTCTTTTGTCCAAACCTGAAACCATGAAAAATTTTACATCTAGCCTCTGCCCAAACATGTAACATATTGTACCTAATATTTCAATTATATTAGAAACAATTCTTTAATATTTCATTTTCATTTTTTTAAAACGTTAATGTCTGTATCATTACTGAATTTTAATTCCTTAAAATTTAAAAAATTTCAAGTCTCAACATTAAAATTTTTTATAAACATATATAATTTTATTAATTATGTAATATGTCGGGGTTGAGCCAAGCCGAGTTCGAACTTCAAAAAATAAACCCAAGCCTGTCTCATGAAACGTAGACTCGCTACTGGTTTGGGTTTGGTCGGGTCCAAGGGGAAAAGTACATTTTCAAGCCCAGTAAATTAGTTGAATAGGAACCCGAGCCCATGCACAGTTCTACGCCCATCATAGCCCTACATGGGCTAGAGGGTGTTTGGTTTGATCATAGCCCTAAAAGTTGTAAGTAGAATAGTGTTTGATATGCTTTTTAAGTTAAAACATCTACTAAAAATAAGTCAAAAGTAATAAATAGGGTACCCTTACTTCTCATTATCAACTTATTTTAAATCTACCATTTGACCAAGTAACGACTATTTTAAATCCAAAACTACCTTCATTTTTAATAAAACCTTAGACTTTCTATTTAATTAATGTGCCTTTTTGATAATTGTAACAAGTTAGTTTTAAGTACTTATATCTAAAATAACTTTTAAGTAATTCTACCAAACAATTAACTTCTTAATTTTAAATTTATAAGTTTAAAATTCATTTTTAATCAAAAGTTAAAAGTAAGTAGCCAAACCAAACACCCTAGTCAATCAATAATCAAACAACATAAATAATTAAGCAGAGTGAATAGAAATTGAAATAATGTAACAATTGCATTCCATTGTTGAAAAATTAGCACTCAACATAAATCTCCAATGAATGTTTTCCTAAGTAATAGATTTTATGTAAATTTTTAAAGGTATTGGAAACAATAGCTGATGGATATTTCATCAAATCTCTAATGGCAAAGATTGGGACAATAAACAACATGATAATCAGTTTGTACTTTTCAATGACATTTCTAGTTGTTAAGATTCAATTGCAAAAACATTCAGAATAACAAATGTCCATAATCAGCTAAACTACATTTTGGTTGATTTTTGTGCTGCTCTAAACCTACACACCCTCTAAGTAGCGTTTGAAATCCAAAGTTATAGGATTCCTAATATTAATCAACACTATCAAGTTAAAAGCCTCAATACACATAAAAGGGAGCCTTACATAAAAAATATTAAGTTACTAACTAACTCACTATCCCAAAATGAAAACTAGCTTAACAACAATAAAAGCTCAAAAAATCAAATCAAAAGGAAAGAAACACTAACCTCAGTGCCATCAGAAAGCACTTTAGCCAACACAGGTATCTCATATTGGTAAGCTCTCTCCCACTCAGGATTGCTAGTAATATCCCTTACCTGAAAATTCACATATGCTTAAGGGGAGCGGGATGGAAAAGAAATGAATGGTTAAATGGGATTACCTGCAAATCGACGTCATGAAGTGAATGGGGCCCAGAAAGCAAGAAGGCAGTTTGAAGCTTCTCTTTGAGGCCATCGCACAAACAGCATCCGGGTTTTGAGTAGAGAATTAACTTTCTCGCTTTCAGAGGCGAAGAAGACGAAGAAGAAGCGAAAGGAACGAGAATTGATCTGGGTTTTTGTCTTGTTAGTAAAGTTATTACAAATGGCCTCGCAGCAGCCATTGCTGCCATTGATTGGAAAGCTGTAATCCTTCGAAGTCTGCTTCGCCAAAATCTCCAAACGGCAATCAGTCAATCAAGTAGTTCTTTGGTCAGGCCCATTAAGAAATATTTTTAATCTTACTATTTATGTCCAAAAACTCCCACAGTTAAAAAAAATTTAGTCAATAAAAATTAGTTTGCCTTTTTTTTTTCTACCCTTAACTTATTAAAATGTTAATAAAAGTCTTTCATCTAGTGACCAATTATAAATGTTATTATAAGAAAATTAATTATTTAAATATATAAATTTAGATACCTTGCAAATGTTTTGGAATATTAAAAAAAGGAATAGCAAACAAAATAAGAGGAGGGAGTAATTTTATTTAATTTTTTCTTTGATATTAAACTAGTGGGTCAGTAAATGAGTATATGATTATCTCTAGCATAAAAGTTTTTAGGTGCAAATATTGAGGTCTTCCTTACAGTAAAATTTTAGATTTTAGTCAATAATTTATTAAACAAAAGAATTTATTCACAATTTAATTCTAAATGAGAATTCATTTATATTTCTTTTAAATTTTATTTGTAAAATGTTTATATAGTAAAACTCACTCGTAAATAAAATAAATTACCTTTAATTTTACTTTCTTTTTTTTTTTTTTTGTAAATTCTTATTTAAATAGCTTATAGGATATATATTGGTATTAACCACATAGATACTCACAGCCCCTAAGGAGTAAATTCTCAACTGAATTAAAATTAAATTCTGCTTGTATTAAATCAGCCCCTAAGGAGTAAACTCCTCGCTGGCATTTTGTTTCATCCATGAAGATCCGATTTTCAAACCCACTTAAGAAGAAAAAGTATTCCACTAGTATTTTATTTTATTCATGAAGATTGAATTCTCAACTCCACTTAAAGGGGAAAAGTATTGAACCAGTTATCCCAACGGTTAGTTATAATTTTTATATTTTCATTGAGGGGGAAACAAAAGAGAAGAAATGCACCCTTTTTAAGTGCCTAATAAGAGATTTGGGATCATTACACAGATAGTGAAGGAAAAGGTGGCAACTGATATTTCCAGTTCACGGAAATCAGGTTCCTCAAACCAATCTCATATAGACATAGGCACAATAGTCAATATGAATTGCCTTCTCATTTCTGGAATCAACAAGTCAGTATGCTATCTCTTTAACATTTTCCTCTTTCTTGACCACCAACCAAGAAGGCATCAACTCGCTTGCTGCCCACCTCAAAAACAGGAATAAAATCAAGAGGAAGCAAAACGCTATAGTGCAACAACCATTAAAGACAGTTTTCTACCAATCACAATTGCAGAGTATGATTTAGATAAGCTTTTTCTTTTGGAAGTAACGCTTTAAATGCCACAGCTGCAAACCAGAAACCGCAATGCAAACACCAAGGGACATGATACTAAACCACGCTACTCTCGCATTGGTTCTTTCACTAACTTCCCTCATTTCTGCTTCCCTGCAAGTTGGTGGCAATGAAAGGAAGGTTAAGTGTGAGTTCGACCGCAGCATGACCACATGCACATTCTGCATTAAAGAATTTTAAAGGTAAAAAATCGGTGTTTCTTGAGTTTTGGGTTAGAGTTCTACTTGTACCTCTTTACATAACCTAGATTCCATCCGTTTTTCAATGCTGTTAGAAATAGTAAACCAAACTCAATTAGGATTAGGATAGAATTTATATGTTTTATAATTGTGTTTTTTTGGGAGTTAGTATTCCTATAAAGCTTAGGATTTATCATTATAGTCATTGTCCTCAGTCAGTTTAGGTTTAAAGCATGCCACTGTATTGCTGGGTTATGTGGTCTATATATGTAATAACAGAAAGATAAAGAGTTTTATGATTGTGATAAAGAGTCTCTTGTTTTTCACAGTGAACTGCAGCTATTTGTGTTTGTGATCGGTTTGGGAAACTTTATTGCTAATATTTCATGACAGATTTCTCTAACTCCTACTTAAAGAATCTAATCGAAAGGTTAACATTCTTTTTTTCTTTAAATGATGTCAATACCAGTCCATTTTACAGATTACAACTAGAAACTGTCAAACAAACAATGAAGTCTATGCTTCTTCACTCAAATTACCAATCTGTTAAACACTGACAGTTATATGCCAATCTGGACTGACTCTCGCTCTCTCTCACCCCCATGCACCCAACACACCCCGCCGCCATTCAGTTAAGATAAAAAAAAAGGAAATCTGAATATGGTTAGAATAGAAGGCAAAGGAAAGGATCTGTGAGGTAGCCTCTACTTTAAATCAAAAGTATAGAGAATGTGAGAGTTTTACCTTCCCTTGAGATAGATTAGATTATTATGAATGGCTTCCACTGCTCCTTCAAGTCTCCTTAGGTCAAGTTCAACACCCTACACATGGTTATACAAAATCTCTATAATCAGGTATGGTGTAAAGAGTCAATTCATGAAAAATTAAGTCCCTTCTATAATAGCAGGCTCTGTAGACCAACTACAGTACAGAATGCTCACAAGGTGCAGCAATTTAAGGAACTTGCCTCAATCTTTTCTTTCCTTGCCACTGAATCCCAATCCTTTGCTGCAATTCCAATTTTCCAGTCTAGACTCAAAGTAGTGGTTTCCACATGTTGCTCCTGAGTATCCAACCAGAAACATGCCATGTAGCTACCAGCTTCTGTGGTTGTAAATGCAAACTGACCATGTGTTACATTTTCAACGTGGTGAAGATTGTTCCCATACGGCGATGTTACCTACAATAAGAGACATGAAGTCCATAAGTCACATCAAACAATTCCAATTGAGAAAAATAAATGCTACCTTCAGGAACACTATTCTGACCAACCCGCTTAGGAGGTGTTCTCCATTCTACACAGCCTTCCATAATATAATACTTACACCTATGCTACAAATTTAAATTTAAAGAGAAGAAAACACAATGTATGTGTTAAAGAGACTTAAAATCCACTATCGCCATAAGTCCATAATTACAACCTACAAATGTCTAACCAATGGTCTTCCAAAGAACCATGCGTTACTAAATTTAAAACTAGTGGTTTGAAGATACACTAAAAATATTCATGTCAAGATTTCCATTTGGATTTATGCAATGAGCCCTTTCAATTGCACTTTAGGTACAGGTAACATCCTATCAAGGCTAACTCATGAGAAGCCTGTAGGAGAACTGATAATTTTTAGAGGGAGAGAGGAAATACCAAAAAGTCAATCGAGTCATTGTTCTAAGCATACCATTCTACTACCTCCAAAGTACAGACCTCAGTTCATTCATCCCTTCAATTTTCAACGTTTTAAACTCTAACTTAAAAGGTTCTAAAAAGTCAAATCTTAAATGCCTTCCACTACAAGTGTATCAGCTACTCCAATTTCAGAACACTAGCAATCATTAGAAAACAAAAAAGAAAACTTTTTACTGATTTCATTGACAGTTGATACCATATTGTAACCTATCTCATGATTTTTTAAGGGAAAATAATTATTAAGTCCCTCAGGTTTACCATAATTATCTAATTAGTCCCAACATTTAACATAATATTTTACTCATCCCTGAGGTTAACCTCCCCCTAATTAAAACGTCTTTCCATCCTGTATGGTGTCATTTTGCCGTTAAAATGAGGGAAAAAGACGAAACCAACCCTAACAGTGACGCCGACATCTTCTAGAATGCCAAGGAGGGAAAACAAGAAGTCAATCTCATTCTCCAAACAAAAAACAATAGTGTGAATCGCTCTCACTTTCTGGAAACTAGAATGCATAATTGATGGATTAATCTTTGTGATTTCGTTACTTCGAAGTGCTTTCTTGAACTGGTTGTGCATTTGGAGTGGGGAAGATAGGAATCAACGCGTTGCCAGAAGAGGTAAAAGAACAACTGTTGCTGTCCTTGAGTGATGATGCATGTTGATTTGTGATATTTGATGAATATTACACTTTCATTATCAGAGAACCAAGCAATTTGTTAATAGAGGAGGTAAAAGAACAACTGTTGCTGCTGGGAGAGGAGCTGGATTTGCTGGATCCACACCTAGAGGACCTGCTGCTTCTGCAACAAGAAGAGTTGTCGCTGCTCCTATTAGAAGATCTGCAAGTTATGCTGCTACTGGGATTGGATCTATAGATGTTTCTAGGCTTGGCACTATAGATGCTGCTGTTGGGAGAGGCTGTTATTGATTTAGTTATGCAGATGGTTTTTTGTGAATCTGCAGATTGTGTTGTTTTTTAAGATACAGTAGGTTGTTTTGTGAATCTGCAAATTCTTTTGTTTTTTGAAGATACAGTAGGTGGTAAATGTGTTACAGGAAACACTCAAGAACAAGTGGACCAAAGCAATCTTGAGTTCTTTTTGTAATAAAAATGCAATGATTTTGCTGGTTGCCTCCTCTCCACAGCGTGTTTTGGGTGATAAGAAGATATTGCCTCTTTAGATTTTCTTTCTTCTTCAATAAACACATTGGCCTTTATGAAGGGTAAGAATTGTCATTTAAAAAATATTATCTCACCTCTCTCTTCATTTTTTCCTAACTTTAACGGTAAAATGACCCAAAACATGACGGAAGGGCGTTTTTATTAGACGGAGCTTAACCTCGGGGATGAGTAAAATATTATGTTAAATGTTGAGACTACTTAGATAATTATGGTAAACCTGAGGGACTTAATAATTATTTTCCCATTTTTTAATCTAAGCAATGCATTCAAACATGTCAGGAGACAATGGCAGTCATAAAAAGGTACCGGCAACCATTTTAACCATCCATAATACCATTTAATCAACAAGGTAAAAGACAATTGTTATAATCAAAGGTAACAAGCAACTTGACAAACAAGAATATATAGCGATGATCTCAGATCCTCAAATTGCTGTGTTAAATGGTTCTTTGAATATGGTATCAGAAACTCTTTGACCAGGTAGTCTAGAATTCAAATCACAAGGTAGAGGTGGGCTGTGTCTGAGAAGTGTGTCAGAAATATACATGGCTTATTATTGGACTCTCACCTATAAACTTGAGCTTAAAGATTGAATGATTATTATGATCATGTTTATTTTGCTCTAGAATTGGAAATGGAATAAATTTAATAGGATTCCATTATTTAGTTTGGTTAACAAGGAACCCAAGATTAATTTTTAATATCACCAACAAATTCTATTTAGTTATCAAACAAACACAAAATGGGATCTTTTTTAGATTTAGACACCTATTTTTAACCTTTGTCTGGAAAGGAGAGAGGAAAATATTGGAGAAAGGAAAACAATAGAGGAAAATAATGAGGAATTGTCAACTTTCTTTCTGTATTTATTTTTCACCCTTGTTTGAAAAGAAATTTATCTTCCTTTGTTCAAAAAGGGCAAAAAATTATAGAGGAAAAAAAATATTATTATCGAAAATTGACAATTATGTCATCACTTAAATAATGAGGTATTTAAGAAAGGTTTAAAGTTTGTTAATTAATTTGGGGTATTTAGGTAATTTAATAAAAATGAGTGAACTTATGAATTTGCTCCATTATTTTCTCTCCAAATTGAATAGATCTAAAATCTGTGGGTCTGTGTGGAAAATAAGTTAAATACTACTTTCTTCAATATTTGCCTCCTCTTTCCTAAACAAGGGAACATAAATTTCCCTATATAGTTTCCTTGGTTATTTTCCTTAAGCCAAACAAAGGGTTAAGGTGAACCAAACATATCTAAGACTCAATTTTGTAAACGATAATGAAGCGTAATCAAATGCATTTCCAATATGAAATTAGGCTAAAAATGCATTTGATTATAATACGTTAAATTTCATTAAGGCTAACATAACAAAGTATGAGCCGTGATGAATTGGGGGGTCATGGACCCCAAAACTTTTGAAAGTTCAACTTTTCTCCCCATAACATTTCATTCAAATGCTATACTACTAACCCTTGCAATGACAATTATAGCTAAAAACTTCGAACAAGTTTTGCCCCTAATTTTTTTTTTTTTCACTGCAACATCATATATTCATAACATTAAAACTTAAAATTATCTACAGAGCAAAATCAACTAAAAAGCAACAAACAAAATTAATAAAACAAAAATTAACCTTTTAATCTAACTAATTAGATGATAATTCATCAAATAAATTGACTTGAAGAAGAAAAAAAAAAGAAATTGGAATTAAATTGAATTACAGACATACCCGAACAGAGACAGTAGGTGTGTGTTCCGGTCGATCTTCGTTAATAACATAGTAATCGGCCAAAACAACAACGTTGTTCTGGATCTCCTCCGATAAACACTTGGTTCCTGTACTAGGAATCGTTAACCATATAGCTTCCGCTACTGGAATTAGATTGAGATTATTAAAAAATAAACATATCAATATTATTATTGACGAAACTGCCAGTGTAGCGCCTGAGTTACAGCTTTCCGCCATGAAAGAACAAAAAGAAACAGAACAGAAATCTTCGATTCAACCGAAGTTTAGATCTTGTGATGCGTTTAGTTGTATTTTGAAGTTTTGTAGAATTCTAATTAACTCGGGAACGACTTTAGTTGGCGCGTGGGACTTGGACATGAATTGGCGGCAGATGACGAAGTTTTGACACTTTGTGCAATTGCGTTTGAGTTGGTCGGTCCAATTAGGACAGTGTAGGTGATAACAAGGTTTTAGCCCACGCGCATGTTACACGAGTGATGTTTTTCATTACTGCTTTCATATTTCGCGTGATTTTACAAGTACGATACGCCTCTTACGGTCTTACCGTTGTTTTGTTTTTTCCCCTTTTTTAATTACAATAGTAAAATTGTTAAGGGGTAATTAGCTTGGAATCTCTAAATTTTACTCAAATACATTAATACGGACTTTAATCTTTAAAATTATTATTTAATTTTTGAATGATAACTTTGTTACACAATAAAATTGAACCGTGTAAGTTATTGATTTGATGAAATAACTAGTAAGATCTCAATTTTAGAATTTTATACTATTTAATTTTATGTAAATAATTATTTCTAAAGGTGTTTTTGATATTTTACAGCCAATTAAAAAAAACTAACTACCGAATCTTATATTCAGATAATTATAATGTAATCAGTAAATAGTATAATTTAAAAAACCACGTATTTATTAGTCGGATCGTTAATTATTAAGATGGTATTTAAATTAAAAAATTTTAAGATTTTTTAATTGTTTAATAATTTTCCCCATATGTGATTTCTTTTCATTTTCCACGTCTCTTACCTATTGATGGTCAACTAACCAACTAGTGGTGAAGTTGTTCTACTTGCTCACTGTCTCACAACTCTTTCATGGCCAATTCCTTCCTCTTGTTCACATTCCTTGCTCTTCTCTTCTCCTTATCTGCAACAACATCGTCATCTTCCCATGATCAGCAAGAAAAAGAAAACGCTCCCATCTCCCGCTTTCAACAATACCTCAGATTCAACACTGCCCATCCAAACCCCAACTACACTGCTCCAGTCTCCTTTCTCGCCTCTCTCGCTCAATCCATCGGTCTTAAAACTCTAACAATAGAATTCACTCCTAACAAGCCCGTCCTTCTCGTAACCTGGTCAGGTTCTAGTCCATCCCTTCCTTCAATCCTATTCAATTCCCATCTCGACTCTGTCCCCGCTGAACCCACAAAATGGGTTCACCCGCCTTTCTCCGCCGTCCGCACAGCCGATGGGAAAATCTTCGCCCGTGGAGCACAAGATGACAAGTGCATAGCTATTCAGTATCTAGAAGCCGTTGGCAACTTGAAAGCTAAAAACTTCATCCCTACTCGAACAATACACATCTCCTATGTACCTGATGAGGAGATTGGTGGGCTTGATGGGGCAGCCAAGTTTTTTGATTCGAAGGAATTTCGAGATTTGAATGTTGGGTTCGCCCTTGATGAAGGGCAGGCGTCAGTGAGTGATGAGTTTAGAGTGTTTTATGCTGATAGGTCGCCGTGGAACCTGATAATAAAGGCGAAAGGACAGCCTGGGCATGGTTCGAGGATGTATGATAATGGGGCTATGGACAATTTAATGAAGAGTATAGAGATTATTATTAGATTTAGAGAGAGTCAGTTTGATATTGTTAAAGCTGGGAAAGCAGCCAATTCAGAAGTCATTTCAGTTAATACGGTTTATTTAAAAGCTGGGATACCTTCTCCTACTGTAAGTGATTGTTTGTTAAGTTAGCAACTTTTATTGATTATATGTTTGTGTAATGCATGTTTTTATTCATTGATACAAGTGATAGTTTGTCAAATATGGAACATTACGTTGGCAATGTGTTTTTGATAATATCTATTTTCATTGATGATAATGAAGTATTTGTTTAGGGATTTGTCATGAATCTACAACCTTCTGAGGCAGAAGCAGGGTTTGATTTAAGATTGCCTCCTACAGCAGACCCCGATCTAATGAAGAAAATAATTGCTGAAGAGTGGGCACCTGCTATACGCAACATTACATATGAGGTAAGATGATTGAATGTTATTATTATTATGTACTGGTTATGTTTTATATAGTATTTGGAATTCATTTTTTGTCAATATGATGATCTTTGTATGTTGTTATTTGTCTCACTTTTTTTGCAATTAAACAAAGGTCCTCATTGTTATTTGAACTAAAGGTTATACTGATGGCAACTGTTCCTTAACTGAATTCTGATGGTGTTTTATCTGCTCTTGTTTGTAATTTATCTTACTTTAATAGCTTAAGTCCATATTGTTGCCTTATACTCTGCTCTTTTGCTAATAATTTCATATAATCAAGTACTTAAACAATTAATTTGTGACAGTTTATACCTTTTCATCTCATGAGCTATTTTCTGGTGCTGAGATGAAACTTTATGTGGAATTATCTGGTCCATGAGTGTGCTGAAGTGTTAGAAAAATTGCTGACATGGCATGTGGGCACCATCACTGAAGAACCCATAGAAAAGTGAATACTATTTGATGCCCCATAAAAGTGATAAATTGATTAACATAGCTACTATATAGTGAGTCTGACAGGAACTAATGCAGTAAATTGGTAGACAGTACTGCTCGAGAAAATTCCTCTAATAAGCCAATTCTTGGGTCAATTTTTCCCTAACACTTAAAACACGTGTGGACTTAGTATTTTTGCTATGGCTCTGATTTAGTACCAAGATTAGTTTAGCAAACTTTAGAACTTGTAAATTGTAAAAAATATTTGATTGAATTAAATTTAAATAATCACATTAGAGAAGTTATTATTAATGTTCAATGTGAAAATATGGATTATGCCTTATTAATGTGGAAGGAAATGTCATGAGATCTGTTTTTGTGGAAACAACTATTGATTCTTGTTATGAAAAAGTGGGAAAGTGGCAGATCACTTAATTTGTGGGAATGACGAATGTGCATGCCTGGACAGGAATGGTACAATTTGCAATTATATTAATGTTTAGCAGCATTTTAAGCACACAATGGAAATTGCAGGGCAGTGGCCACCCTCCATCTCTCCCTCTTTCTCCTCTAATTATCCTATCTTCCTGGCCTCTTTTTTTTTCCTTTCTCTCTCTCTCTCTCTCTCCCCGTAATGAGGCTCTGTTGCTATTATTTTCTTATAATATATTTCCAAAAGGTTATATGGAGAGAGGTGTTCACTTGTCATGAGAATTGTGGTTTTATGGAAATTTGAATTGCAAAGTAGCTAAATTTGTTTGGTTGGGTCCTATGGATTTTGTCTCTGTTTGCTTTCTTGAAAGCATTCATTATGTCCTAATTGGTAGCGATAACAGGCATATATTTTTCTTCTTGCTGCAAATTAGTGAAACATGACTTAACTAGGTCTTAATTCTAAACTCGTCCAATCATTTTCCCCCATCTTGTTTTGTTTGATTTCATGCTTATTAAATGATTTTATTTTTTCTAATTTTTCTTGTCAGTACTTGTACTAATTGTTTGTTTGGAAAGAAGAGGAAATAAAATAATAAAGGAAGAAAAATAATGAAATCTATTTCACATTAAACAATGCAATTTTCTCAATTCATTCATCATTTTTTTCTCCAATTTGAGAGATTCTAATTTTGTGGGCCTGGGACGAAAATGGTGCATAGTTTCCTTCATTTGATATTTTCTCTACCTTTTCCAACCAGGGAAGATCCTTTCTCTTGTATTTGTCCTCACATATTTTCTTTCCTCCAAAAAAAAAAAAAAAAAAAAAAAAAAAAAAAAAAAAAAATTTCCAACCAGGGAAGATCCTTTCTCTTGTATTTGTCCTCACATAATTTCTTTCCTCCAAAAAAAAAAAAAAAAAAAAAAAAAAAAAAAAAAAAAAAAAAACTCCTTTAATGGCCATGTGCAGTTTTTATCTTCTTGCCCTGAATTTCACTCTGTTCTTTCAGAAGGAAGTTCCTTCATAGTTGGATAGGTAGTTGGTTGTTCAGCATCAGCTAGCTATGCTGCTCAATTTTTTAGCATCAATATTGGAGTTTACATTATAATGCATAGATTTTTTACTCAAGAAATATTCAAGATGCAGGATTGTAATTAGATATGGTTATTGATTTTTCTTTTTGTCTGAAAATGTCACAATGACGTAGTTTGATTTCATTTTCAGTTATTGGCCTTTACTGCTCGCAGGAAGAGGTTGCCTGGAATGATCCAGTGCCAACAAAAGCAGCTATATCTGCATAAGAGGATGGGAACCACCCATTTCTACACTAATAAACTTTGATTAAATGTTTAAATACATTCTTTATAGCCCCTCTTGAATAATGTAACAGGAACATCGAAAGAAATATTATGTTTCTACAACGTGTCCAAAGTAGGCCTTTTGCTTTTCTTCTTCTTCTGCTTCTTCTTCTTTCTGGCGTCTCTTCATTTTGATTGACACTGTGCTGTGCAGTGCAAGTTACTTGAGTATTCTTGATTAATTTTGCGCATGTAATTGAAGTAGTAAAAGACGTACAAGAATCTACGACTTCTACCAACAATTTTTCAATATTAATGTCAATTAAAAGTGTGAAATCTCTTGTTTTTTTTTTTATTATTATTACTAGTATCATCCCCGCTTTTGGCTTCTCAGTAACTAAAGTGCGTATTGCAGAAGGATATCTGATTATGTATATGGCAGATAATTGAGAAAGGACCCATAAGAGATTATAAGGGGCGGCCATTGATGACATTGACGGATGATTCCAATCCATGGTGGCCAGTTTTCAAGCAAGCTATCGTAGCAGCTGGAGGAAAAGTTTCGAAGCCTGAAATCTTGTCTTCAACAACTGATGCAAGGTTCATAAGACAGTTGGGCATTCCTGTTTTTGGTTTCTCTCCGATGACGAATACTCCCATCTTATTGCATGACCATAATGAGGTTCAACAAGTTTGAGAATCAATTTTTGTCTGTCTTATTTTTATATTCAGTCTACTGGGGACCCTTTTCAAATATTCTTAATGATGTCTTGCAGTTCTTGAAGGATACCACATTCTTGAGGGGAATTGAGGTGTACGAGCACATAATCAGTTCTTTGAGCTCCTTTGTGGAAGTTCAGTCAATATAGACATTCTCAGTTCACTAGTATCTTTTTACTAGTAAAAAAAGGGATAAGATACTAATGAAAGTTCAAATTTGTGTGAATGGCAATTAATTCTTGATTTGTACATTAAGAGGCTCAAACCTAAGCTTTGGTTTATGCTTATTGCCCACTACCTGAAGCCTATTCCACGTAAAAGGTCTGGACTGGAGAATGATATGTGCAAGTAAATCTAATTGTAGTTAAGCATCAAAGTAATATTTTTGGCATTGAGAAAAATAATTTGTTGAAAACAATTATTGGAGTTTGTTAATATTTATTTTTGAGATAAATTTTATATGTTTTAGTCATAAAAGTTTCAGAACAGTTTTAACATTGAAACTGTCTTTACTGACAATATTAGAATTTTTTCTAGTTTTAACCTTAATACCAAATGGGTTTTCAGTTTCCTGTGTAAATGTTTTGAAGGCTGTGTGATTACACAGACCGGAAAAATTGAACCTCTCATCTACTGGTTTGTGTATGGATTACATTGAACGAGTCTATGCATATAGCTGGCTTGTTAGAAACTAGTAGACTTGATAATACTGCAGTTAGGGTTGGGTTTGGTTCGGTTTGAGTTATATTGAACCTAATTTTTCTATTCAATTTCAAATTTGATCTGACTCGATCATATGGTTTATTTTTGTGTAAATTCAAATCCATGAAAAATTTTAAAATTTGGGTCTAGTCCAAATATACAATTATATTGTTTCTAACATTTCAAAGTTCAATTGTATTAGAAATAATTTTTAAAAAAATTGCAAATTTCAAGTCTCAATTAAAAAATTATCATTTTGTGTATACATATTTATGTAATATGTTTGGGTATGAGATTTTCCATAATGAACCGTATTCTTTTTACACATCAGTATGAGGTCAATCTTACATCATAAACGCATAAGAAATCCGTCGGTTTTTACTTTTTACAATAGAATTATGTAGGGACTCTGCACTTAAATTAAAAAAGCAAAAGAGCAAAAGCTGATACACTTTTAACTTGACCTGATTTATTGGTAGCCTGATAGTTCAATTGTATTAGAAATAATTTTTAAAAAAATTGCAAATTTCAAGTCTCAATTAAAAAATTATCATTTTGTGTATACATATTTATGTAATATGTTTGGGTATGAGATTTTCCATAATGAACCGTATTCTTTTTACACATCAGTATGAGGTCAATCTTACATCATAAACGCATAAGAAATCCGTCGGTTTTTACTTTTTACAATAGAATTATGTAGGGACTCTGCACTTAAATTAAAAAAGCAAAAGAGCAAAAGCTGATACACTTTTAACTTGACCTGATTTATTGGTAGCCTGATATACTATGGGCAGGATGTACAACTTTTCAAGAAAGACCTAATTCAATTTTTCGAGAAAGACCTAATTCAATTTTTTAAGTACGTAACTTGACCTGATTTATTGGTAGCCTGATATACTATGCGCAGGATGTACAATTTTTCAAGAATGATCTAATTTAAGTTCAGACACGTGCCACAAATACGGTACGATATAAAGTTATAAGAAATTCGATCACTGAAAAATACATTTTTTTAAAAAGTCAAAAATCTTAATACTTTACGGCTCTCCTGATCGTACTAAAAAATTGGGGGGTGAATGCTTCAGGTATTTTGGGTACCTGTGTTTTTAGATGAGAAGTGGGGTGGGGGGATTAGCTATCAAACATAAGTAATGGACACAATCTGTTTGATTTTCCAGGGCTAATTTATCTAACGTATGGATGAAAGGTACTTGGAACAAAATTCCATCCTCAACACATATGGACTTTTTTGAATTCAATCTTAGCTCTTTATGGCCAAAAATCTACCAAATGTCGGCATTCCATGCCAACACTTTTTTTCCTCTTTCATGTCAGTCCAAAAATATAATGCATCCAATTTGAGGGGGGAAAAAAAAAAAGCTTATTATGTCATACAAGATAAAAAGAGAAAGTTAGGTCAACAAGTTCACCCCAAGATTAGGGGTGAGCATTTGGTGCTGCCAATTCGGTTAATTAGATTAATTTGGCTAATTCAGTTCGATAAATAAATATTCGGTTAAAAATTCAGTTAAAGAAAATTAAATTTTCGGTGATAAATTAAAAGTTCGATTAAAACTTAATTTAACCGAATCTCAAAACTACGTCGTTTTGATTAAGTAGATAATAAAATTAAAAATATTTCAGTTTTTATTTGGATTAAATAGTAATTAATAACTTCAGTTAATTTTTATTTCGGTTAAGTTGGTTAATCATAAATTTCGGTTAATTAATTAAGTTTTCATTTTCTTTAATTTTGGTTCGGTTAATGATCAAAATTAATTCGGTTAAGTCAAAAAGAAAATTTGAGTTAAAAATTTTACTCAAACGGACCCAAATGACGAACAGTCATCCCTACCCAAGATAATATAAAATATCATTTTTATCCTCAGTGATCAAAATATTTTGAAATCAATTTACCTATCAATAAAAATTAAATTCTTTTACCAATATTGCTTGGGATAGAGTAATTGGAGTTTAATTAACTGGTGGCCTCTTATATGAACTATGCATCTCATAACGTTCATCCGACTGCACATTTATGTAAATTTAAAAAATTAAATTTTGATAGAATAAAATACTGATTTGACGAATATATTACGTTAGCCATTAGTATGGATATGGTGGTTGTGAAAGATACGTGCACTTTTATATATTACATATAATGAAATGAAACCATTTTTCCTGGAAGTTTCACTTTATCTTGAATTCTATCAAAAGCAGAAGATTTGATTCTTTTTCCTCTGATAAAAACCTTGCCCACATGGATCTTGCCTCTTCATCCTCCAACACTCCAATTTAACTTTCTTTGCACCTTCCTATTCCTATTCCTGCCCATACCCATTTTTTCCTGCAATTTTTCCTGTGTTGATTGGGAAGTGACAATAGTCTAATCTTGCCATCTGGATTTTTGGCCTCTACTTATCTATATCTCCACTCCAGCTGGTCCTACTCTTCCTGTTGGCTGCCAATGCTTGCTCCTTTAATGCACATTATTATTATAATCTGTTGCTTTCATTTTCATATATATGCAAGGTACGGAAAGATTATGGGTACGGTGCCAGTTAAGAAGAAGATACATTCTTGAGCTCAGAAAAATTTTGCAAGTACATTACAATTATTTTGTATTATTATTACAATTATATGGCAAGTTGGGTTGGGGAAGATTACACAGAAGTCGCTACCAAATAGCAATTTATCTATCTTCATTTATATGGTAGGGACTTCAGACTCGAACAGTAGCATTCAGACAATATATATATCTTGGGAAACAGTAGTATCTATAACAGATTTACAATCGTATATATATAATACTTAACTCTAAACCCAAATCAATTTTAGTGAATCTACATTAGGGTTAGGGTTAAAGTTGTTTATATATCCAATTGTAAGATATAGTATATCTCTAACCTGAATAATAATTTATACTATTAGTTTGAGAATGTCTCTGGTAGCTGACCCTTATTCATCTAGTATTATTTGTTGTATTCCTTCATATTAATCTCACGTGTTAAAAAATATTATTTTTCCAAATGCTCTTTAATTACATCAATAAACCGTTGGATCAATGACAGTGAATTGTATCTTTAAACGAACTTTTTTATCTATAAAGTTAGAAGTTCAGTTCAAAACTTAAAATTATTACTGTTTGAAAGGATTTATCTAAATACTATCCTCCATCTGAAAGGATTTATCGAAATACCACCCTTCATCTAAACGTTTTATTCAAATAAAAGAAAAAGCTCTGCAACATGAACATTAGTTATCAAGAAGTAACTTAATTTTAAAAAAGAGATATTTGCATAATAGCTAATTTGAAGGAGTAAAATCAAGAATTTGGAGCAGCAAAAGGTCAAAAACACATTTAACTAAAAAAGATGGGAATGCTCTCAAGAATTTTTAACTCTTAACCCACATTGTCCACTACATAAATATCAAATGCCAATGACATTCTTCACTTTTGATTTCCAATCAGTCAAATTTCCTCCATTCACAACTAACCCTTTTCAAAGTTTAGGGTAACTCAATATAATACATATATATAGTATATACCTTGCATCTTGACCTAAGTGAATATCTAATATTCCTTGGAAGGTAAAAATATTTCAAGTTTTGACAGCTGAAACAACTGCTCCCATGTGGTACAACAAAACATAACTAAAAGTAAAAGTCAGCCCTTTGATTTGCCACACCAAAACAGCGTATGTTATTTAAATATTAAAAGTTGTTACCAAACAGACCATAATTTGTATCTCGCACCAAGCCGATAGAAAGTTCGAACTCGAATCCAAATCATTTCATACTTGTATGAATACTAATAAGTTATGAATACTTCAAAATATTTATTTAATTAATATTTTATTGTAATATTAATTATTTGAATCACAATCACAATAAGAATTAAGTACCCTAAATTAAGGTCAAAGTAATTGAAGTATCAAGAAGCTTTGTTATAATAATACTAATAAAGAAATTTCCTTCTAACTTCAAACAAACAAAGTCATTGTCATATTCCTTAAATTTCTGACACAATTAAAATTAAAAAAACAAATAAACAAAGATTAGGAGTGTGGGATGAACATGTGATGTGTTTAATTAAAATAAATATGTAGATTAATTAATTATTTAAATGTGAATGCTGGTGTCAGCCACCTGGTGATCATAGGGTATCACAAAATTACTTTTTAAAAAATAGAATATCTCTAATTAAGAAATTAATTTAGGGTTTTGGTTTGCTATTTCAAGTGAGGCAAAAGGAACATAGGAAGGAGGGAGGATGCTCAGGAATAGTACGGATTGACGACACTATTCTTTTCACACATTAATTATTATTGGAAAAATAAATTCTATAATATTCTTCTCTCTCTCATGGTTAATTTTATTTTAGGGCAATTAAGTTGCTATAATTGCAAATTAATTCATGTTCACATGTGATGCTTAAATAATTAATGAGTTTTAGTTAGTGAATAATTAACTTATTGGAGCAAATTCATGTGATTAATTAAAAGAAATAATGTTGTTATTTTATTAAAATTGCAATGTCAAATGTTGACTTATTAAACGTTTTCATAGAGAATATCTTAATAAGGCCTAAAAAGCAAAATATTCAGAATTTTACAACTTGTTGCAATTATATTCTATTTTTTACCTTTTGAAAAGTATATGCTAGAATGAAATTTAAAGATTAATTGCATTTGTAAATAGAGTATAAATTAAACAACATGCAAAGTTCACAATATTTTTACACTATAAAATAATTAATCAATTTATAATTTTTTTTTCTAATTTCTCTTCTTTGCAATAGAATGGAAACTAGAAAAAGAATAGGTTCATTCTTTTTTCTTAAAAAAAAATCATGCGTTTTATTAATTATTCAACACGTTACATCTTTGAGAAAATAAAATTATTTTGGTATTAAAAATTTTAAATTATTTTTTCATGTTTTTTCCTTGTATATCTGAAAGATTTACATTGTTTTATATCATAATTTTTTTGAAAATATATTTTAATTTAGTTTAAATAAATGCTAAAAATAAATTTACAAACATACTTCGTTATCACAATAAAATAAATAATCGTTGAATTTTGATCAAATATTTCTGAATACTATTAGAGCTAATGATGATATATTGTTGGTTGATTTAGTAATTAATTATTGTAAATTTGAGAAATAATCGAATATAACTGAAATTTAGTTCATGTATGGAAATTAGTCTTAATTTATTAAGTAAAACATTGATACACTTTTCATATGATTAACTTGTTATTATAAAATTGAGGAATAATCAAATTTAACTTATATATGGAAAATAAATTTTTGCCAATCTATATATATATAAATATATAAATATATAAACAGAGAAACTTAAAAATTGACATGGCGCAAAATTAAAGATTTAAATTGCTGATGTGGCACTATTTTTTTTCCTTTTTTTTTGGTTTGAACATTAATAGAGGGAAAATTGATATTTTTGATAACATTAATGGTGTTTTTTTGGTATTTTTGAATGATTAATAAAATTATTATCACAATTAAATTCTTTTTAATCAATAAAATTTTGAGCTACTTTCTCTAATAATGCTACTTCTCTAATAATGCAATTAAAATAATATATTGAGCCAAATAACCTTAATATTATTTTAAATTTCAAGCGATTTTTTTTCCAATCACCCACAACTATTATTTTTATATTGAATTGACATAAATATTATCTTAAATCTATTTACTCATTTAAAAGTCTCCTAATGTTTAAAAGAATTGTAAGATTTTTCATAATCCCATTGAATTTTGATTTACTACATATATAATCTAACATTGATCAAGGTTTAAGAATAATAACAGTGACTCGATAATATTTTTTTTGGATTCCTTACCATCTGCAGCAATCGCGGGTACTATGATTAGTTAAAATATTCATACTTTAATTTCTCTCAATTAATTGTGAACTATAATCTAACAATGAAATATAATTGAATTTCCAAAAATGAATAACCTATAAGTTAAATATAATTATGGTACAAAAGAAAAATCAAATTTCCCTTGGGTAAATACCAGCAATAGAAGCTCAGCAAGAGTAAAAAAAATGATTATTTTAAAAAGTTAACTCATGACAGGTAAATGTAAATATTTGAAATTGGAGTAATTTTCCTGAAAAAAAATTTCTAAAAAAACTAAAAATAGAGTTTGTGTGTAATTTATTGTTTCCATTCTGGAGAAATGAAAAAAAGAGTTTTGAGTTTTTTCAAACATTTAATAAGTTTTTCAAATAACAATTTAAGTTGTTTTTTTTATTTTTTTAAATAACATTCTTTAATTTTCCAACTGTTTTTCAAAAAAAAAAAAAAGATTTTTCATATATATATATATATATATAATTATTATTCAAAAAATTTATTAAATAAAAAATAAATAAATAAGTTAATTTTTTAAAATTTTATATTTAAGCTTTAAATGTAATTAATTTTACCAAATATATTTACAATGATAATATTTATTTTAAAAGATTTATAAAATGATGAAAATTGATGTTCTTATTATAAATAAATCAAGAATACACATTTAAAAATTTTAAATAAAAAGTTGTTTTTCATTTTCTATTTTTCATTTTCTTAAAAAAATTGAAAATAGAAAAATATTTTTTATAAGTAAACACGCTGTATAACTCCGTTTTACCTTTTCCTTAAAACGATTAGTTAATTTTTTTTTATTAATTACTAAGATAATTGATGAAGAGTAATAGGATGATACAACAGGACACACTGAGTATGCATCAAGCCACATAAGATATACGCGTATACCATCAAGCCAATTCAAATATATACCATTTAAACGTATTTTATCACTTTAAATTAGAGATTTTGATAAATAATATAATTAATAAGCTGATTTGTACCTGTGATTCCTTCCTTGAGTTAGATTTAAAAAAACAAAAAAAAAAAAACAACCTTTAAAAAAATTAGTGACAGAAATGTCCAATAACCATAAATAGCAACAACTTGTAATAGAAAGTTGGCAAAACAACCAAAAAAAGACCTGCAACCTTAAAAAAAATAGAAGAAAATACCAAAAACAAAAACAAACATATAAACTCATAACCCAATTTCAACATCAAGTGTGAAACTAAAAACCCCAAAAAACAGTAGCATATGGCCCAAAAAGGGTAATGTGTCCCTAATATTAAAAGGCCACGACCTCTCTACATCCCATGCAATTGTGTGCTGGCAAGTGAAAAAACGATAGTCCTTGCCCTCGGTTTTAGACTCTATATATATCTTAACATCCCTACAAATGAAGAAAAGTGTTCTAAAATTTTAAAAACCAAAGGCAAAGTACCCTAAAGTCAATTCGTACAGGCGTAAGCAGGCAAAGACTCTTAGACCCATATGTCCTTTTCTTTTATTTATTTGAGTTATAATCAAAAAATCTTTTGATAGCGAAATATAAAAGATAAATAATATTGCATGACGCGGTTTTAGAGCTTGCATGACAGTGAAGCTCCAGCTGGTTGTGTTTTCCCTCCTCTCCTCTGCTCAGGCTTTGGGCTTTACTGTTAAGACTGCGCGTATATTGATAATAATAATAATAATAATAATAATTATTATTATTATTATTACCTCCAAAAGCTACTTATATAATCATTCTCCAAAAAATAATTATAAAATATAAAAAAAGCAACTACTTCAAAGCATCATGCAACCTGCAGATCCTGGAAGTTGCCTTCTACAGAGAATCCTATGTTTTATATTTTATTTCTTTTTTTTTTTTTTTGGGAAATTGCTTCTTTTTTTTTTTTTTTTTTTTTTTGGGAAATTGCAAGACTAACTCAAAATGGAAACTAAACTCATGTCTGAAATACCCTTTTTGCCCTTTCTTGTGTTGTTCTTGTTAATTAAGGATTAATTGTTTATTAAAGTGGGAACTGAGGAAGGTTTCTTGCTATGTAAGTTGATGATCAAGAGAAAAAAAATTCTAAAAACAGTAATGTGCTTTTGGTTAACTTTTTCCATGTTGGTCTTTCATTGCTGCATGTGGGTTAGAGTCTTATTGTCATTACCTTTTTCTCTATATTCTTTTATATTTATATATATCTTTAAAAAAATAAAGAAAAAAGATCATATATTTATGCAAGACTTCCTGAAAAAGATGAAGAAATGAAAATCTGCAAATTATAAAATTAAGAAATTAATTAGTTAACTTGTTAAGTACTCATATTACTCCCACATTTGCCAAATTCTACATATTTGCAATTTTTTTTTTAATAATCAGGAGAAGTACTTGCTCTCGAACTGTAGAGCGTAAAATTTTTTTATCTTTTCGGTAAAATGTATTTTTTTGAAATTAAACGCGAAATGGTTTATTATCTTGATCAATATTTTATTGATTATATTATTATTATTATTTGCTATATATGATCTGATGTGATTTAATTATCTGGCATAAGTTTGACCACGCTTTGGAAAGACAAGTCATTTTCACATAAATCTTCGAAATGTAAAATATAAACATAAATTTTTGAATTTGAATGAGCTTGAAAATACCTGTCACCCATTTTACATTCAAGTGTTTGTGTGAGGAAACTACTATGGACATAGAGTATTGCTGTTCCTTTACTAGAAGAGGAATAATTTGGTAATTTCATATTATTATAACCTGACCCCAACTATCTATAAATACCAAACCTTTGTCTCTCATTTCAGTTCCCATCTCATTCTTTTTTCTCACATCATCATCTCTTTCAAAGAACCAGAACAAGAAAAGAAAACCAAGTCTTTACTAGCAAGATTCAAGATCAAGAAAAGTGAAAAAAAAAAAAAAAAAAAAAGTGAAAAAAAAAAAAAAAAAAAAACATATTTCAGAATAACTGCTCCTACTACTCTACTTACGACTGCCTTAAAGAATTAAGATCCATCAAGAATAAAGAGCTTATCGAATGGTGAAAAGACGACACAGATCCAATCAGTAACAGTCACACAACAAAGCAAAAAAAAAAAAAAAAAAAAAACATATTTCAAGAATACTGCTCCTACTACTTCTACTACGACTGCCTTAAAGAATCAAGATCCATCAAGAAAAAGAGCTTATCAATGGTGAAAAGCGAGCACAAGATCCAATCAGAACAGTCCAACAACAAGAAAATGTCATCTTCTTCGCCGTCATCATCATCAAATAAAAAGAAGTATAAAGGAGTAAGAATGAGAAGTTGGGGTTCTTGGGTATCAGAAATAAGAGCACCAAATCAAAAAACAAGAATTTGGTTAGGCTCTTATTCTACACCTGAAGCTGCTGCTAGAGCTTATGATGCTGCTCTTTTATGTCTTAAAGGCTCTTCTGCTAATCTCAACTTCCCTCATCTTTCTTCTGCTAATTCCCATTTTACCCCTGACACTGTCATGTCCCCTAAATCTATTCAAAGAATTGCTGCTGCTGCTGCCAATAGTTTTTCCGACAATGCCACCCCCATCACCACCGTCACCACCACCACCACCACCACCACCACCATCAACACTTCCCCATCACCATCATCATCAATGTCTTCCTCACCGTCGGATCAACTTGACTATGATGACGTGTCACTAATGCAGTCTTTTGGGTCATATGAAAGTGAGGCTCCTATTATTAACAAAATGCTGGAATACTCTTCATGGTATAATTTTGAAGATCAGCTGCAACTCCAATCACCAAAGTTTCTTGATCATCAAAGTTTCATGTTCAATCCGCCAATGGTGACCATCGATGATTTCTTCGAAGGTGATGATCTTCGACTGTGGAGCTTTGCAGAGTAGTGCTTCAATTTTTTTTTTTTTTTTTAAATTTCATATTCTTTTTGTCCATTAATTCATATTATTTTCATGTATTTTGGTGTAAGGCATTATTATTACTGACAAAGTGACATATAAGTTAATATGTTAGTGTATTCATTTTTAGGAAAATAGATTAATAGAAACTCACATGGGGAAGGAAACATTTTTTTGGACTTCCTCATGTGAGTGTTTCCTATATATTCAATTCTTATGTACTATTATCAAAATATATGTTCAAATTAAGTGTGTTACTATTATTTAAATTTTGTAATTGAATAAAATTATTTTTTTATTTAGCTGTACTAATTTATTGTTCTATAAGCTAGTACTATCAAATTAAGTTAATTTATATAAATTTAATTAATGGATATTACTCTCTATCTCTAATTATATATATCTTTCTTAAGAAATTATCTTATCCCAAAATAATTTGTCGTTGCAAGAATTATAAGAAGTATTAATTAATTGATTTTCAATTTTACTCTTATATCTACTAAACATACTTTTAAAATTTTTTTTTAAATTTTTTTCTTTTTCTTTCTCAGTAGCAAATTAATGAAAAGAAAATTATTGAGATCAGGTTAATTAGGTGAGATGAAGGTAATTTAATCAAATTAATAAATATTTTGTTGTATTAATTTAGATTATTTAAACGCTTTCTTATTTTCGAACACAAACAATATCTATTGGAACTCATATTAAAACTTTAAATTACAGATAAAAATGCATGTAGATTATAATTTAAAGAAACGATTTCATCAGTTCCATATGACTTTGGAGAGATCAAATTACTTGAAACTCGAAAGTTCCTTTTGCTTGGTGAAAGTGTCAGATTATAAACAAATGCTGTAATTAGTTTAATTACAAGTAATTAAACTAATTAAATTTGTAATTTGTGCAGTACCATAATATTACAAACAAGTAAATCTAGGAAAGATTTTAGATTGTTGGTATATAAATGTCATCATCTTCCTGTATATCTGGAACTCGAATTTCAACTGCGAGTCAACCTTTTGCACTGCAGAATATGACATTTTACGCACAAAAACAACAAAAAACAATTGTAATAATTGATATCCTTTCGTTTTTCTGAAACTGCAAAATTCATCGCATCATCAATTCTGATATCTTTATGGTCCAAATACGACATTTTAAATTCGTGTCGGTAATTGCATAATTTTTTTATTTTTGCAATAAATATTTAAAGTTGGAAATTTTCATATTAGTATTTTTGCAATAATTATATAATTTTATTCCGGGACATTTTTTTTTTTATGTTAATGCATACAAAATCAATTCAAAGAGAGAAATGCTAAATTTTTACGCTAACAGAGTATTTAAGTTTGTGCGGCAAGATTACTTATTTTAATAAACTATTAGCAGTTAACTGTTCTATTTGTGTTTCGTTAAATGTTAAATAAAGTAATGTTTGATAAGACGCTCTTTCAACATTTAAATACTAATATGAATATGAATAATATGCTACAAAACACTCAAATAATAGTTAAATACTACCTTTAAAGTTATTATCCTCTATTTTTGAACATGACATTTTAATGAAAAAAAAGATTAAATAGTATTTATACCTTAAAAGTAATCTATGATGCTTAGATGAAAGTGAGTCTTACGATAACATATGATATGTCTTAATCAAAATCAACTTTATTAATGGTAGGATTAGATTGAACCCAAATTATTACTTTTCGGCCAATCTTTTTGGAAGGCTGGTCAATGCACTTGAGTTGAGTGTGTGAAGTGTGAACCAGTTGCTTAAGCCAATACCACATGACCTGTCCTTCAGTGACTCGTGGGTTTAAGGACATGGTGTCCCATTCTTAAATTTGTTTTCTTTCAATGTTCTACATTGTATGTAGCCTCTTCTAGTTGTGCACTAATGGGCCCATGTTACTCTACTTTTTTTTTTTTTTCTAAAAAAACAGACTCCATTCCTTAAATGGGCCCACAAAGATACTATTAAATGGGTCCACAATTGGATTTTGGTCCCACAATAGTAATATTTGTTGTTGTCTGATTTGAATGCACAGTACATCTCAACATGAGATATACACAACACATCATGTGATCTAGGATGCATCAATCAATCCTAGAATTCACTACTTATACATTATAATATTGTTATTGCCTCTTTTTTTTTTTTTTATATCATATTATATAAAATGTAATGTAATGATCACAAATTCAATTCCTTAGGCAGATAATCCAATTTTTGTAGACATATAATTATACAATATGGATGTGTTACACAAAACAGCTACATGTGAGTGATTTATTCCTATTTTTAGGATAAATTCAAAGAGATTAATCTAAATTAATAGGGAATTTGAATTGGAAAACCCATATTTTTTGGTAACAACTGGAGAGCAAAAGCTCTCAGTAAACATTGAAAGTCTAGCATAAGAAACCTTTATACAATCTTGAAGAAGTCATTCTGCTATATCAGGAGGCGGTTGTATGAGAAGATGAGTCTTTAACAGATAGTTTCTTACACATATAAAAATGTAATCCATACAATGGTTCACTTCTCTGTGAATATGTTTGATCACACGACTTTGAAATTGTGTGATCAACTGTTAAACTGCCCCGGAAGAAAAAACATTACCTGATATGAGTTGGACAGCAACCAAATTATCTAGAAACCATATTTTAATAATTGGTGGAGTGAAGAATTTTCTTTTCTTCTTATAGTAGTAATTAAGAGAAGTTATTTAGGCTTAAATTGACATTATTCAGGGCATTTTAATGTAATTAGATTTGATTTTGTAGAGACTATTATACTGGATGAATCATCAAATCAAGAAGACAGCTTCTGATGTAGTTTTCTTTTGATTTGATTGAGCTGTAGGCTCCATATGAGAAAAACAAGCAAACTTTTGAGACTGAAATATCATAGAATGATCCTATTTTTATTTTGAAAAAGATACATTACGTGTCATATTTTATATTATTCTTTTTTCCTCGCAATTTCTTTTTGCAAAATTATTTTTTATTCAATAATAAATATAATGGATATTGATGTTTATCCAAATATCATTTTCTCATTATCAATTGACTGAGTCAAAGATATTCTATCTAATTATTTTTGCAAGTAAAATTATTTTTTTCTATATCCACACATTTTCAAAGTAAACAAAAAATTTCTAGCGTTATCAAATGGAAAAATGCACATAAACTTTTCATTTGAAACCTATTTTCCATAATTTCATCTGATTTCTACTCATTTTTTAGTTTTCATTCAATATTATCTTGATCAATGTACACTTCGATCAAAGTTTGATAAACCCTAATGTTATTTTAATTACTTTTTGTCATATTCATGAATTGGGCCAGTTGTGGCCCAAGGTGGAATCGGACTCGGAAAGCCTAAAAAAAAAGCCCGCAGCAACCGATTCTTGACCCAACCCTTAACCCTAAAAACCACGTCGTTTTAAGTCTAACCCTAGCATAGCAGGAAATGGGCGTGAAACAGTTTATAGTATCGTCTTCTTCCCTTCTACAATTGTTACCTCTTCTTTTCGTCGACAAGCAGATTACCTCGAAGAACACGTATGGGTTATACAAAAGACCAGCTGCTTACTCGATTGAAGGTTCGACTCTTTAGTCTTCACTGTTATTTATTAATTGTTGAGAATTGACTGGTTGATTCATTACTATTATTCACATTGACTGAAATCTGATCTGGGTTTGCTTCGTTTTTCCTTTTTGTTATGTTGATGTTGATTTTCATCATCGTTTACTTAATGGGCTTTATATACTGTTCGTCTCAAGTGTAAAAGGACCAAGTATAAAGCAAAAGTTTTTCCCCCTAGTTGCTAATTCGATGTTAATGTACAATGCAAATGGTATATTTGTTGAATTTTATATTAAATTATTTGTAGTGATTGTATTAATGATAATTTCCTGAATACCTCCTTTCAAATGATGTCAACGAGCATCTAGCATTCTAGCTGTGCTGGAGAAGCTGAAATTGGGCTAGGAGATGCCTATTCAAAAGAAGAAAAATCCCATTAACTAGTTTTTTGGGATTATGAGTTGGGACTTTTGCAAGTTACTGTAGTAATATTTGCTAGCTTGCTTTTGTAAAGAACTAGCATTTTTCTTTTTGATCTTGAGCTGTAATTACTTGAAAAGAATTCTTTTTGGAACATTTCAGGATTTCTTTATTCCATTCTGTGTTCTGAATTCTTTTAACTAATATACTCATTGGCTTGTTTTTAGGAGCTTCAAATTGATTTTGCTCAGTATGAACATCCTGCTGCTTTGACAGTTGAAGAACAGGTAAACCTTTTTTTCCCAGAAATCTAGTTTGCATGTATTTTTCAACATTCACATTCCATATATTATATACAGATCTGCTGATGCAAGAAAATGACTTTTGTATCAGGCAAAATATGTTGGAGACAAAGGAGGTGGACTAAGTAAGAATTTATTCTTGAAGGTAAAGGATAATAAGAATTTAGAAGAAATGTCAAAGTTACTAATTGTTCTGACAGATTTTAGGCAGCCATTTAAATTCCTCTGTTTGGAACTCATTTAACACGCTTGATTATACATGCAGGACAAAAAAAGTAGGTTTTACATTGTTTCTGCTTTGGCGGATACCAAAGTAGATATGAAAGGTGAGTATTATGTGTTTGATATAACAGGCATGATCAAGTTTGTGCTTGCCTAAGTTTATATATTTGATTTTGTTGAATATTAAAGGGAGTCACTTATGCCTTTAAGGTTGAGCAGTTTTGTCGCAAAGGCTTGGGTTGGGGAAAGGAGGTATAAGAATGGCCCCTGAAGAAGCATTGGGCGAGATACTTCAGGTAATGCCTCCAGCATGCCGAGTCCATGCTGACTCCTGACATTTCCCCTGTTTTCTTTCCTAAAATTCAAGTGTCATTCACCATTTGAAGTTTTTCCTCTTTGTTTTGCAAGGTTCCATTAGGCTGTGTTACTCCTTTTGCAGTTATTAATGAGTCAGCACGGTATGCATCAGAACTTATTTGCTGTTGAAATTGATTTTACCTCCATTTCTTCAAGTCTTTGAGTTTTTCCTCTATTGAAATGCATTTGCAGTTCTCTACCTTTGGCCTTGATAAGTTATATTTTTATCTTTGGCCTTGATTAATCTTGTTATAAGAGTGATATCGAAATCTTATGCCTTTTCTTGTCTTGCTGATACTGCATATAATTAGTAATGCTTCTTTTGGTAATACCTGATCAGATGTTTAATCAGTTCTTTTGAGAAATGAATTCTCCTCTTCAGTGTCAAACCCTAACTTCAATCCCACCTTAAGAAAAAAATTCATCCCGCTTAGTGAGCATGACTTTTTCTAGATCTTTACCTTCACAACATTCATCCCCAGATTGAAAAGAAAATATCATATATTTGTTGACTGGATAGAGTCATCCTATTTTATCAGAAATGATATCAGAATAAAACTGTAAAAGTCCTTGCTATGTTATCTGTTTATTAATTGATTGGAGTGCGGTGGTAATAACTAATAAGTTGAGAAGTAAAGTTTCTCTGACTCAGTTTTTAGGGTGCTTGAGTGACTATTTTGACCTAGGTTATTTGTAATCATTGAATTGTTTTTCATGATGTGATTGGTATTTTGATTAGAAGTTGTATTTGGTAGAACCAAATTAGAGCCTTGCGAGAAACAGGCTTCCGTTTGGTTGCTTTTTTTGAATTTATATAATTTCCTGCTATTACTGTTCCTAGCAGGAAGTAGTTTAGTATATATATAAGACAATTTCCATGTAATATTCATCCTTTGTTATGTATAGGCATGTTTCACTGTTGCTGGATAAAGGATTCAGGACACAGGAGCATTGTTTCTTCCATCCTCTATCTAATGAGATGTCAATTTGTAAGTATGAATAGGTTTTTTCTCATGTAATTTTTCTTGTTCTTTTACATTGAGTTTCGTTTAGTATATGTCTTATTCATTATGTGTTACTCTTTTTTCCCTAGTATTTGCATCGTATTAATTCATTGGAACTTGTGAACTCTATTTCAGTTGTCACTTTGAATGCGCAATGTGTAGACAGGGGATAATAGGGTTGTTGGATATTGTGAACAAATCAAATGCCAAATATAAAATTTGAAAGTAAAGATTGAGAATGAAGACAATCACATTATCAAAGTCCTGTCTCTAGTTTACGCCAAATGTTGTGGAAAATTGAATCAACACCCAAACTAGAGTTGGCTCGTCTCTGATTATTGCATTATAGCTATAGAGGGTTTTTTATTCAGTTTCCCCCAAGTTTTCTGCTTGGCAAGTTATATATTTTTAAAAAAAAAAAAAGGATTTGCATTAATTTAGAGGTAAATAAAGGCAGTGCTTAATTTAAGCAGATCACTTATTTTTCTCCTTGTAAGGTTTAGGTCTTGTAGTTAGGTTATAGACATAGAAATTACTAACTTTATTTCCTTAAAAGGCTTATTCTTTGTTGGATATCCTGATGCGCCCTTTCTTGCTTATTCTTAATTTTATGAAACAAGATTCTTTCGGAGCTTCCTTTATTATAACTGGTTGATATTTTCTTCTTTATTTTTTGTTTTTGGGCCTCTATTCTGCTAATTATTGTTCATCCACATCTAAGTTTTGACATTTTTATAGAGTTGTCAAGTTAGTTTGTTGTGAGTTTTACAACCTTATTCTGATTGCTAATAATTACTTATTCTTCAGCTCTTCATGCTCGTGATCTTGACAAATTTCTAAAATCAATTGGGAGAGAGCCCTCATATGTTGACTTGGAGGTGATTCAGGGTTAAGTTTGCTATATTAACTCGCCAAGAAAAGACCCTTTGAATAAACAATACTAATCTTAACTTGTAGGCTAATCCACCAGTTGGAAAGGATCAACCTCCTGATCTGGCTGCTTTTGTTCCATCTGATTCCACTGTTCTCTCTGATCCTCCAGTAAAGGCAGTTCCTTTGCAAAGTCATACTGAAAATCCTGTTTCTGCAGAGAAGAAGCCTGCAGCTGCAGCAGGTACTTAAATGTGATTTTACTTCTCAGTTGTTTTCTGAGTTCTAGATGCTAGCAGTAGGCATTAGCAGTTTGGGGCATTTTTTTTATTGGCCATTTTCTGTAGTTATGCCCATCGTTGCAGAGTTTTTCTGAATCTCTTTGAGTTGTTTCTACTCTCTATAGTTGGGGACGATCCTTTGTCCTCCTAATGTAGACATATGGGGAATTTTCAAAAAATCTGGTACTCTGGAGAACTTGGAAATGAGTCCTGTGCATTTTCTGTAGCAGACCTTGTGTGTAATAATGAATTCTATTCAGGACTATGGAGAACAGTGGAAATTTTTATTTATCTGTCTTGATGAGGCTAGTGATTTGACATATGAAATTAATTAGTTTGACCGACACAAAATAAATTATATAAATGGAGAAAGCATGCCGTGGAACGGCTTACTTGTTGTTTGATGCGCATTTCGTGTCAATTAGTTAGACCTTGATTTTTCTGTGTGGCTTCTTGTTTATTGTAATTTTTTTGTAATGTTTGCTTTCATTGATGTAGTAAAAACTGAGAAGGCACCAGGCACTGTAAAAAATGTGAAAGACAAGACGGCTGTTGCTGCACATCAACCCAGTGTTTTCTCAGATGCTGGACTTCTCGTGGAAGAGATTCTGAATAAAACATCTAATGTTTTGCTTTCAGAGGTATGTTTGGTGCTGCACCATTTACATATCCCACATCAATGTCATATTTGAGTTGGGCTCAAGGAAGTTCTGTTTATAGATTAAAGAGGATTCTATCAAGCAACATGGTGATCAACTTGGAAGTATTGTTGCTGACAGTATGAGAAAGCATCTTAGCTCAGATTTGAGAAGTCTTGCTGTGAGTAGCTATCATTTCTTATATCATTTACTATAACAATGTGCTTGCACACGAAACTTACGTTTGGTTTTCTGCAATGATTAAGGCTTCATTTCTTATTATGACTTCTTTTTTGTGGTACTAAGGGTTTCATTTAATAGAATGACTTGCAGCATTTCTTGTTCATCTTCTGATGCTATGATATGATCTAGATTCTTTCCTTGTGGAAATATTTTAATGTAAAATCAGGGTTATGCATATCACGAGGGTGTTATTTATTGCAGATAATGTTCAAGAACACAGCCTATGCACAGGGATTTTATGCAGGCACTCATCATCATCCAAAGCCATTATGAACTTGCCCCGACTGTCAGATGAATCCACTAGAGAGCACATGAAAATGAAACTGCATTTAAATATGCACTTATCCAAAGCGGTGCATAGTTTACACATTTCAAAATTGATTATTATTCTAAACATTTTTTCAGCTTTGGCAAATGTTGTTTTTGTTGCAAACGATGTTTAACGTTTTGTTTAATCTTGTTGATGGTTTGATACAATTGTCTAGGCTCAACCTTGTTCAACATTTGTGGCAATAGAACCTGTCAAATTATTAGGAAAGAGAGTGGACTTTTGTGTTATAAAAAAAATTAAAATAGAAAGATTACCAAATCCATTTGGTGGAAACTTGTGAACGTGATGGTACAATTGAATATATCTGGTGTTATGCAATAAACAGTTGTGTTTGATTAAATAATTGCAATATTTGAACACTATTTTCATCAATATCTTTATGGTAAAAGAGTAGTTTTGTATAGTACATAGAGATGACAGCACTATGACTAAGAATCAAGAAATCACTTTGTTGAGGTAATTTCTCTGATGCACAATTATTCAATGCATAAAATACTGTTGTAACCTACGAAGCCATCTCAGTCCTGGACAAGAACAAAAAAAAAAAAACGAAATGGTATTATATGAAACAGTTTAGTCCTGCAAAAATGATTCATACAATTTGTGGTACTATAAAAAGAGGTGGAGCAGAATGATGCTTTGGATTTAACAGTTTAGAAGTATAAATTTATAGTTGATAGTAATTTAAGTTTTCCAAAATCAATGTAAGATAGAGAAAAGCTTTTATGGGAGCTAAAAATTGGAAGCAATTAGTGAAAGAGTGAAAGGTGAAATGACATACCAGTAATGCATCAGCTATACATGATATCTTTTCCACAGTTCCCTTCCATAACTAGTTTAAACCCTTAGATTCCTAACAAACATATAAACATCACGTAGATATAAAATTGTTTTAGCAAGACCAGCTACCATTTTATGGCTAGGCTAAAGAATATTGCAATGTGTTAACATCTGGAAGAATTAATGAAGTTCAATTCAGTACAAAGGAAAATTCGCAAGCAAACTGTTGAAAGCATAATCTGCAGTGCAATTATAAATTCCTAATTCCTATTTTGGTGATCTTGTACTTTCAAACATGAACATTTGCAAAAAATTCAATGCATTTGATAATAGAATTCATTCATGAAGTTTTAGACTTCTTTTACCTCCCATTATTTATAAACTAATACATACATACATATATATATATATATATGGGCCTAGGCTAAAAAAGATATTGCAATGTGTTAACATCTGGAAGAATTAATGAAAGTTAATTCAGTACATAAGGAAAATTCGCCAACAAACTGTTGAAACATAATTCTGCAGTGCAATGTATAAATCTAATTCCTATTTGGTGATCTTGTAACTTTCAAACATGACATTTTGAAAAAATTTCCCATGCATTTGATAATAGAATTCATTCATGAAGTTTAGACTGTCTTTTTACCTCCCATTATTTATAAAACTAATACATAATACATATATATATATATATATTAATATCGTATGTGTGTGTGTGTTGTGTGTGTGTGTGTGTGTGTGTGTGTTATCAGTTTAGCCTTATTATTTTACCCTTATTAGAGAGTGTGTGTGTGTGTGTGTGTGTGTGTGTGTGTGTATCGTTAGCCTTTTATTTTACCCTTATTAGAGATGCTTTGTCTTTTATATAGCGGTTCTACAAAATCAATTGAATTCTCGAAAATCAATTGAACACCCACTTCTTTATTTCCACAAGGATGGAATTCCAATATTTTAATAACTAATCAGGCTACGATGTTTTTATCTTAGACCTATGCTGCAGTTGAAGAGAACTAAAAGCTTAGACATCAGAGATTCAATAAATATTAGAAACCTTTAGTATCAAAAATTTATTATATATATTTATATTTGTGGACTGGAGTTTGAACTTAAAACTTGCTATTTTGAAGATGACTTTAATATCACATAGTCAAAGTTTATTGGTAATATCAATACATTATATTAATTTGCTAAAGATAGATCAAGAATTCGAATCTCACCTTCGTGAGCTTCTCCATGAGGACTAATTCTCCCATATCTTGGACGAAACGGCCATAAATTAGCCAATTGCCTCCTCAACCTCAGGCACCTTCCGTCCCTACCATCTCCATCCTCGCTAACATGACCATCACAACCTTCACGACTGCTATTTTCAGTAACAGCTGGTAACTCTTTTCTGCAAACAGGGCAAGAGTTATGCAACCTTAACCAAGGCTCAATACACTCAGCATGGTATATATGTTTACAAGGCAATTCCTTTGCCTCCCCTCCGATCTTGAACTCTTCTTTGCATACTGGACAAGTTGAGTCATGGAGCAAATGACTTTCCATAATTTTCACTGTTGGTATTTTCCCTATAACTGCCTCAGGCGCTGGAGGCGGCACTGGCCGGTCATTTTGGGTCAATTCTTCAATCAATTCATTTAGTCCTGGACCAAAAAAGTAGTCTCTTGGATTAACTCTTGGAGGAATTGGGTTATTGGATTCAATAGGAGTGAAAGGATCAATTGGTCTAAGAACAATCCACGTTCTTGGTCTAGATTGGATTCCAGGTTCCTCTTGACCTCTACGTGGACGTACTTCATCATCAGAGTTCAATCTATTTCTTCTTCGTAACCAAGACCTGCCACGAGATTCTGGTTCAAGATTATCAAGAAGACGTGAACTTGGTCTTCTAATTACTGGTGGGTCAGGCATGAGAGATAGAGCTTCAAGTAAGCGAGCTTCTGGGGAAGGATCAAAAGCAGTGAAATCAACAACCAGTCTTGGTCTGTTCATTTCAATTTCACAAAGGAACTGCCCTGAACATCTAGGACAAATTATTTCTGATGGGTTTGAGGCAACAATTCTTACCATTCTGTGACATTGGTAGCACCAGTAGGGCTGGTAGGTTCTTGTTGTTTCATGAATTCTTGTTCTTGGTGGGCTCAAAGACATGATTTTTCCTGGTGGGATCTTGAAACCAAATGGGTTTCTTTTCTTTTTTCTTTTTAATTGTTTTTGGTTTATGGGTTTATGCTTGTTTTGGAAAAAGATTGTATCTTGGGAAGAAGAAACCAAATTGGAGGTCATTTATAAACATGTGCGAATGCAGAAAGAAAAGAATGGCTTTTCTGGGTTGCATAAAGCAATCCTTTCTTTATTTGTTTCTATTTTCACTTTCCATGAAGATGCTGTTAGGATTTGTTTGCAGCGTCTTCATTCGCACTATTTCTTCTCTAGCAAGCAGAGAATGACTGAGATTTGTAAAAGAAGAAACCGTTTTTAATTTGAATTGCGAGGGAAAGGTTGACGGCTACCTTCCGGAAAAAGGTCTTAGCGTCTGTTAGTTATTTGCTTTTGACGAAATTACCCTTCTAGTTTTTTAAGTGGCCAAAAAAAAAATTTTCGATGAATTAAGAAATCCTTCAAAAGAAACAAAAGCTTCTCAGTCAAGGTAAACCTTTTAATATCTCTGTTGATTCTTATCGACCGTAATATTTGTTTCTCAGTCAAGATTTTGGTGTTTTTCTTTTCTTTAGTTATCTTTGTTTTGAGATGCATATGGCCTATTTTGATGGATTTGCTGTTGTTAATGTTAAATTACTCAAGAATTCAATTTGGTTTCGTTTTCAATTTGATCTATGAGAAGTGCGTATTGAATTGGATTTTTTATTTACTGCAACTGCAAATATGGGTCTTTTTACTGTTTTTCTAGTTGTGGGCTTTGGTGCATCTGCACGCCACATGCTTGTTGATTTGTTTCAATGACTTGGCAATTGTTTCTTTGTTATTGTTTCACCTAAGCTTGTCTATTCGTTTAATATTGTTGTTCAAATAACTTGACTGATGATTTGAAATGTAATACTGATGTGATTGGAAGTTCCTTCTAAAATGAATGCATATAATCTAGTCAGCTGCATTGGACCGAGATCCAGTCATCCAGAGTTCCTATTGTATTTTTTTCTCAGTCATTTTATGTCGAGAGAACAGAGAAATCTCACACAAGGCATGTGCGCCTTTAAAAAGCCCGTTAATCATTCAATATTTTATTATCAAACATCTATTGTAAATGATATATCAAGTTGATAGTTATAGAGACTCGTTGAATTATGAATATAAAAAGTTTCCAATAAACTAGATAAGGACTAAGACTCAAAACAAGTAAATCACCTGAAGTAGAGAACTAACTCATGCTTCTTTTTTGGAAATTCTCAAGGATTTTCATTTGTTCAGGTGAAAAAAAAGTTGATTTCCTTATTAGCATTTACTCTAATGGGGAAATACCTGTCTAAACTTTGTTGATTTTGAGTTTACTATTGTTCGAACCATGATTTTTTTTTTTTCACATTACCTTAAAGCATTAGCTGATGCATATTCTTGTTCATTTCATGTTCATCTGAGAGATTGTTTAGAATAACTTTATTTGTGGGACGAATAAGAATTCTTTTTGGCAAACTGTATTGATCCCTACTCGTCATCATGGTATTTTTGATAGCACCTGTGCATAATTTTGTAAATTTCTATATTTTTTTGTGGAATAAAAGGTTTGTACGATTATTATCATTATGTGCTGAAAGTATATGGGCAAAAGACTTGCATTGTATATCAAGTTCTCAATTATCTTATAAGTGATAAATATGGTTACATTTTGGCAGATGCCTGGTCATTGTTGGGAAAATATGGAACCAAAACCTTATATCATATTCAAATAACTTCTCCTTGTGGTGGTATTATATCAGTACAAGAACATTATATGCTTTTCTCCTTCATCCTTGTCCAAGATGATTGAGAATAGGTTCCCTAATTAGAAGTGTAATTTAGCAATTTATAAAGGCATTCATTAGAAAGCTGATATTTTGTGTATATTTACTTGTATGTGTTGTATATTCACATAATACATATCGTTCTAAAAAATCTCTCTTTTTTTGCCTGCCTTTGTTTTTCTTTCTTTTTGCTAGGAAAAGAAAAAGATAAATAGAGATACAACTGTTTTAAATTTTACTCTTATAAATCAATTGTGAACTGGTCGTGTTTCTAGACTTAAAAAACAGGTCCACTGATTATTGTTTGGTTCATATGCTTCACTTTTACCATGTTCATAGTTCTATTCGTTTCTTTCTTTCTACAGGGTTCTGTTTCAAAGTAGTTTCTTGATCACATTTCTTATAATTTGTAAATTTACAGAGTCATGGGAATTGAAGAGCCCAAAGATCCATTGAAAGGGGTTGACTGGAAAGCCATAGGCAGTGAATTGCAGAAGGATCCTAGTGCTGGTGCTAAACAAATTATAAAGAAGAGGCTTCCAAAAAAGATCAGGCAAATTCCAGATTATTATTTCCTTCCTCGAAGATCTCTACCCTCTGCAATTGCATTCTATGGGGCATGTATTGCTGGTGGAATTGGTGCTGGCATGCTTCTAGAGATCTGGATAAACAAGAAAGTTAAAGGTATCATATCTAACTTGTCTACAATACAATATTGGCAAAAATAATTCTCAGGTGGTAGTGTTACATTTGATGAGGTTGTTGGTCTAGCTCAAGTGAACTGTTGGAATAACAACTATAGTGAACTTGGGAGATGCTTTCTTTGTGAAATTCTGGAATTTACATTTCATGTATCATTTGACATGACTTGTACCTATATCTTGATGATAGCCTTACCTTTACTCCGCCATTTCAAGTATTCGACAGAAATTGATGCCAATGTGTATCTATTTGTTCTGGTATTTCAGAGGATGGAGGCGTCATATGGGAGTTTGACAAACAGGGCCCGGAAAAGTAGATGGCATTGCAATTCCACAGGGAGTTACAATTTTAGCTGCCTTTTTTTTTTCTGCTGATGTTTCTTCTTTTGGAAAGTTGTGAGACACAAGACTGCTAGAAAACTAAATTATTGCATTTATGGGTTTTGAATTTTGAAATCTTCGCTAACTGACAATAATTTTGGTCAGCTAAGTAGTTAATTAGTTAGTTCAAACTGTCGTCGGCCCAGATTTTTAGGTCCCAAAATTGCAGGTACAGCAATTACGATTCCGCCCCCAAGATTTAAAAAAAAGAGTCCAGTCCAGTAGGCAGGCTAAGCAGGCAAGAGTCCTGCTTCAGGCCCAAATGCAATGACATTGGAATTGCCACAGTACTTTGATGCCACCATAATTTTATGTAATGCTTTTGAAACTCTAATCTATGTATTCAGAAACTTCTTCTGGGGTATGAAAAAAAAAATCAACTCATAAAAAGTTGATTAATCAAATTAATTAGATGGATGTGAGCCAGCATTTTCAAGTTATCAAATTATTATCCCATTAATTCTAGAAAAAGTATGAAAATTATCAAAAAATTATTTTAACTTTTAAAAATAAAATGTTATTTGTATTATTTTTTTATTGTTCAAAAATAGATTATATTTCCATTCTATAAAACTACAATATTATGCTTATACATTAAAAATATAATTTCAAAATGTTTTACTGATAGATTATGGGAATATAAGCAAGGAAGGAAAGAGCACCAAGGCATTCATCTTTCTCAGTCAATATTGTTCTGCAGGTTACCCAAAAAAAAAAAAAAGGAAATATGTTAAAAAAAAAAAAAAGGAAATTATAATATGTTCAAATATCTAGGCTACATCTAAATAGAAATACAGTAAAATAATTCAAAATTGTTTCCCACAACATTAGGAACATGTCTAACCACTTGCATGTGGTTGTTCATTTGCATCTAGGGTTCCAAGAAATTTAATACCCTATTTCAGCCAACTAAAGAAAGGTAATGTCAAAAGTGTTAGGTGACCAATGCTGCCCTAAATTATAAAACTTCTAATAATTGCATTTATGTTCTTGCAACAACCATGACTACATGTAATAATGGTGGATTTGGTCCTGAATTTATTTAGCGAGATGAAAAAAAAAAAAAGATTAAATTTAATTTTTTAGGTCAATTTAATTTTCTAATTTGTTTAAATTGATTAAAATATTAAATTTAACATTTTGAGCCAATTTAATCGCTGAACATTTTAAAATAATTACAAATATCATATTTAATATTTTGAATCAATTTAACCCTATTTTTTCATTGTACATACATGTATATACATTTATTAATACTATAGTTAGGATCAAAACTGTATGATTTATTAAAAAAAATAATTAAATATGAAATAAAAGAAAATGATATATAAAGTTTACCATATAACTCTTTAGCTTGACTAATGATTTTGAGTTCATAAACACATACTAATTTGAACATTTTAAAATTGAACTTTATTACTAGGTTATATATGAAGTCTATGCATTTCTCATGTTGAACAGATTAAATTTATAATATATATTTTGTAATAAATAATTATTTTAATACAGAACAAGAAGAGATAAGAATTGATCTTATTAAATTGAAATAATTTATTAATTTGTAAAAATAAAAACATCTTCATAGGGGCTAAATTAACTGAAAAAAATAATGTAGTAGAACATTTCATCGAAAACGCAATTCAGAATCAAGAGATTCATGGAAAACTTCTACTTGAAATAAGAATAAAAGCTACTAGATCAAACTAAAAGTCAAGCAACACAAGACAATAAGCTCGAAACCATGCTAAGAAAGAATCCACTGTATCGACTACCTTTTTAACCAAACAATCTATAAATTATTTTCTGTTTACATGTCTGAATTATTTTTGAATGTCTGAATTATCATAACTGAGTCAAAATAATACAACAAAGATTCAAACTTATTTTTAAAAGAAATAATTTGACGAATTATTCAAAATTATCTTTTGACGAATTCGATAGTGAATAAATGAGTTTGGATGAGTTCGAATAGTATTTTTATTACCTTTATTAGATTCGGTATCTACCACTCGTTACCTGTTTAATTAATATTTAAAAATATTTAAAATAATTATTTTTTAAAATAAAATTATATATATACACTTTTTAATGCTATAATATATTACATTTAATGTTTATATTATATTTTTATTAAGTCAAAATAATAATTTTATAATTTTTACTTACTTTTTGCTTTTGAAAAATAAAAATAAAAATAATATTTTTAATGCTAAATGGGTATTTAAATGCATTCTGGTTTTTAATCAGATAATTATAATCAACTCAACGAATTCAAATACCTAATTTATAATAGGATTCAGGTTTGATTAATACATTTTAATTGGATACCCGACATGTTGCCATCCTTAAATGGATGCACCATTCATCTAATTTACCTACATGTTAAAAACATCATACCATGATGTTGGTTAATCATTCATATGATTTATCTACTTATATGTGTTAGCCAAAGGGATAAACTTGCGCGTTTCAACTTATTAGTTAGCTGGTTTTTTAGTTTAATATATAAAGAATTTAGTTTTTTAATTATACTTTCTATTGAAAATTAAAATTACCTTTATAACAAATAACAAAATCTAATAAAAAAAACTCAAATTATTCAGATTTATATAAATGAAAAATTGAAATTACATTAAACATTCATATTCTAATTAATTGAATATATATATCCAATAAAATAATATGATGATTGTTTAAGTTTAAACATTTATATATTTTCTACCTTACAAGATTGTGTCATAATTTTATGGAAGAGTGTGTCATATTCCTAACTCGTGTATTAAAGAAATTAACCAAAATTGAAAAATAAAAATAGAAATAGAAATATTTATATCATACCTTTTTTGGAATAAAAAAAATCAATAAATGTTTGTAAAATTCATTTGCAAATCTAATTTTTTATATTTAGAACATAAAAAAATTGAAACTAAAACAATCCGTATTTCCATTATAAAACCATATCCATCCTCCTAATATTCTAAAATTATTAAAAACAAGTGAATTTTTAATTTTGAATTTATTTTCAAACATAATTTTAAAATTAGCCAAGCTTTCTCTATTTCTATAAGGAAAAATTTCTTACGAAGAAGAAGAAGAAGGAGAAGGAGAAGCTTCTTTCCCAAGCAAATTGTGGAAACATATTCAACAAAGTGATGGTATTTAAATATCTAATTAATTCAAACCGACTTCTTGTTTGGATCTTTTTGACAAATGAAATATATAGAGTGAATCTCATTAAATATGTTGTTGAATCCTCATAAAACGCCGAATATTTTGAATATTATTTTCTGAAATTGTCAAATTGCGTTTCCCATCCTATAAATTTATTCCTCATAAGCATAATTAAATCTTTGATTATCTTAATTTTGCTGGCAATTACCTTCTCATTCCTCTCTTTTTTAGTAATAATCAAATTTCTAATTAAGAAATCAATTCCTTCCCTTGATGTGAATTTAGAATCATAACTGAAAATTGATTAATTTATGAATTATGTATTTGAATATTTAATATATTTAAAATAATATTATAAATAAAAGATTGTAATTAGCATGAAATAGATTGTTATTTTATGTTGGTATGGTATATTAAGTCAAAGGAAGACTTTGATGACATAAACTTAAAACCTTTTTAATGAGTTGTTGGAGGATTATAAAAGACCCATTTTTACTCTCCGCACGCATTGTTCCAAACTCTTTCTTCCTAACTAAAATTGAAAATTTGATTATTATAAATAGAGCAAATACTTACTAAAACTGTTTCACTCTTTAGAAGGTTAACTCGAAACAAATAAGATTTAGTTCTAATTTAACAGACCGTAGATATCGGTCTGATTAAAGATGTGTTCGACAATAGCTTTTTAAGTAATTTTTAGTGTTTTGAAACGCTACTTAAAAAACTGTTCTGTAACATAACTTCTAGACTAACTTTTAGATATTATTATAATATTTTATAAAAAGTTAACTCATAAAACGTTTAATTTTTATCATTTCATAGAAAACTATTAAAACAGTTAACAATTATCAAAACAACTAATTTTGTTTAATAAAACTTAAAAAGAAGAAGAAAAAAAAGCTAACAACTGTCAAAATAACTAATATTCGTAAATAAAGATTTAGAAGAAGAAGAAAAGAATGAGGTCATTGCTGATTGGTGACCCCATCAACCAACCAACTAAATTAATTAGTGGCATATATACTATTGGAGTAGGTGACTTAACCCAGTCTCATGCAACTCTTTGCCGTTACTAATAAATACAATAGGAAAAGGACTTGAAGGGGAGGGGAGAGTAGGGCTTCTGGTAGGGCACTATCATGCATATATGTTATATTAAGATTTAATGACACTGTCATATCATATCCTACATATATACATATCACTATCACTTAGACTTTGTTGGGGATCTTGCATCTTTATTTATTTCCTTTTTTTTCTAATTAACACTTCAAATTCTCCACAACATAAAAGGAAAAATCTATAGTTACATTATTAAAAGTCAAATTGAGGCATTGGGTTGAGACCGCTTGTAAAATTCAAATGCATGAGAGTCACATACCCTTGTATTAGAAGGCAACTATTCATTAACAAGGACATGTAATATAAAATTGTTGACCTTTTCTCTTTCTTTTGGTTCCCAACAATTGAGGTCAAATTACCCTTTTCAAAAATAAAAAATTTCAATAGCTCTAGGTTTTTAGCAAGTGTAGTTTTAGGGTTTTTGAAATTCATATTTATTCACAACCAGTTGTGAATCCTACAGTTTGAAAAGGGGCCAACGCTTTAGATGCTAAAGCGCTTACCAATTCTATCAGCTTCATTATGCACTTAGATTACTTTTCTTCAACTTAGCTTCCATTTGAAGTATTTGGACAGAGAGGTTAAAAGAATAATATTATTCTAGCGAACTAAGTTTGTTTAATTATTAAGCTTTTGAAAATTGAAACAAACGTTTGGTCTTATTAAGGATTGGTTATTGTAAATTGAATATTAGGTATAGTTTGATTGAAAATGATTTATTTTCCGAGAAATATACTTCCTAGAAAAAATATATTTTCAAGGAAATTATGTTTCAGGAAGTATAATTTGAATGTGTTTGGCATTTAAATCAACTTTTTAAGAAGTAAACCGCTCTCAAACTATAAAAAACTAATGTCCATAATATAAATTTAAATGTGTTTAGATGATAGTATAGATGAATAAATTCATTGCATTTAATGCAACTTCCTTAGCCATCTCTAAGCAAGTTATTTTTTTTGTACAAAGTTAGATAGTCTATTTCTCGGAAAGTAGAATTGATAATGTAAAACGAATACATGATTTTATGCACTTTTCGAAATTAATCTACTTACTTCCAATCAAATACCACCTTATATAAAAGTTATGTTCGGCAAGAGCATTTAGTGTTTTGATTAAACACTGTTGTAATTAATTATTCTGTGCGGTAATGTCATATATATTCTAACGTTTAGCGTTTGAGATGGTGTTTCATAAAATTTTATCATCACATTTAGCGTTTTACGAATATTTTATCAAACATATATCCATCACTTTTCTTTATCTTGTTCTCTATGACCATGTACTTTTCCGTCTTTATATTAAACAGCAAATCAAACACTTCTTTTTACCGAATATTTTTATTTTAAATCGTTATATAAACAACTAATCACTAACAGCTAGTAAAACAACTAATAGTTACTATAACAGCTAACAATTATTAGAACCGTTAAAATTGCCGAACAAGGCAAAAACAAGTTTGTCAGTCATTCAATACAAAACAGTATTGGGAGGATGAGGCAAATTTATTAATAGCAACTGCTTTTATCCCAATACAATTTTAAATTTAATAATGATAAATCCATTCTCATATGAAATGAGCTCATATATATATATATATATATATATGGGACCAATAGCCTAGCTGGTTAGTTTCATTATTGTGAAAGATTTTAGCGAAGAAATATAAGGGTAGGATTGAATTGGAAGCAAAGATGATAGCTTCTGATAAATTTGGTTATAATATACACACGCAAGCCATTTGTCATCTTCTTGCAATAATAGCCTGCCAATTGGCCCAATATAATCTGCCTCCCACTGGATTTTTTTCACCCTTTTTCTCATTTTTTAAACATTATTCTCATCTATATATTGATTAGTGAAACTATAAATTATAAAGTTAAAATACCATTTAAATTGGACCAATAAATTCTAAATTACTTAAATTAATTACTTTATTTATCAAAATTATAATTTTGGGCAAGGCCATAATTAGATATTTTACTTATAAATATTTAGTTTTTGAAAGAACTATCGAAAAAAAATTCAGATAATCTACTCAGATGCAATGATGTAGGCTATTTATTTTTTTCTTTCACTTAAAAGTTTTTATAATTATTTTTTTGTTAGTTTTTATTCTAATTATCATTTATTACCAAAGTAAAACATGAATTTTAATAATAATAGTATACAAAAACAGAAATATATTTTGATATTTAAATTTTTATTTTGAAAAATTAAATAAAAAATTCAAGAAATTTTCGTCTTTCTCCCTATAGTATTCCTCTCTATAGATTAAATTTACTATTAGTATTGTAGAAAAAATAATTCCAAATAAAAAATTAATGGAATCCTGCAGCAAGAAAAGAAAAAAAAATAAAAAATTTAAAAAATATTTATTGATGACATACTGACATCAGGGTAAGGCAAAATAAATGAACAATGAATGTAAGAACCAAACATGCCTGAAACCCGTTCTGCTGATTCTGGATAGAATATTGTCATAATTTCAAAATCCAGTAGAGTTACATTTATTAAAACTCAAACCTCCAATTTTTATTTAATTCAAATAAAAAATTTTCTTGAACTTCTCACCTTTCCAATTTTTACCATGTTTAGAAGCATCTTTCATTAGCCCAAAGCAAATTTAGCAGTAGCATTTTGATCTAGTGCATTGGAAAATGCAGTATATTAATTTTATGTTTAAAAATCCAACCAGCAGTTTGATCACCGAAAAATAACTTGTATTTCAAGACGAGTTTTATTTATAGAATAAAGATTGCATGATTAAAAATTTAAAATTATTACTGTTGAGAGAGTTTTATTTGAATATCACTAAAGTTACTATTATTGGGAGGATTTTACTTGAATACCACATTGATCCGAGTATATAGACTTATTATAATAACTGAGAAACAAAAAATTACATCTAAAGATTTGACAAATTCTGAAATTTTTTTGCAATATTAATTTATGGAGAAGAACTCTCACCAGGCAACTTAATTACTATTTTTTTAACAAACATCTAATAAGAGAATCCTTGAACAAATTTGATCAGATCACTGATTATTATATGTATAGCTGAAAATATTTAATTCAAATACCACCAACAGTGGTCTGAAATTGAACCCTCCAAGGGCTACCAACTAAAGAAGAAAAACAATTTTTAATGAACAAAACTTTAGAGTAATGATAGCCAATATGAAATTTTAATAGAGTAATGGCAAACAAAAATTGCTTTAATTAATCTCTTTCTCACATGATCAATTATTAAATACACTATGAGTAACATGTTGGGATACAAAGCTCAGTCAGGGCTGAGGTAATATTTAATGTTTTTTTAGAGTTGGTGAGTTTAATGAATTTGAACTATGATCGAAACATAATTAATAAAAAAAAGTTTTCAATATTTTTTTGGTTTGCTTATATATTTCTAGTTCGGATAGAGAGTAACATTCAGGTAAAGTTAACACAGGAAAAAGAGTTTAAGAGTTGAATTTTTTATCTTGTAAGTAAAATTTGCCTCTTGGTAATAAATATTTACTAAGTAAGGAGGAGAAGATTTGAATCTAAGGTAGAAGACCAGTAGTGAGTAAACTGAATAAAAGAAAAAAGAAAAAGAATCACCATATATTTTAAAAATTTAAATTCAAACAAAAGAAAAAAAGTTCTTTTGAGTTGCCTTTATAAAATTACATGGAAACAGAGATTGTGGATCCAGCATGCATGAAAAGGCAGAGTATTTTGGCCAAGGCAAGGAGCCCCACACCCACCATGTCATGTGCTTTCATGTATTTAAGAATAATATCAAGCCTAACATTATCCTATATCAATGAGGAAGGCACATGGCTTCTATACAATAGTTTAATGAAAACATGACAACCAATCTTAACCCTTCACTTGATTTGAGTTCTACTCTCTATTTTTAAGTTTTCATCATTTCTTTTTTGTCATATATTGTTTGGGACAACATAAACTACCCTACTGAATACCTAAAATTCAATCCGACATAATAGTATCATTTTGCAATCTCCGGAAATGACTTCACTGCAAAGAGATAAAACTAAGATCCATTTAGATAAGCAACTGGGAATAATTGTTTCAATTTTAAGTTTTCAAAATTGCTAGTGAATCCAAACATGCCCTTAGCTTTACCATTAATCTTATCAACAATACACACTGTTCAGCAGTCGATCAGATTGATCTTTTTACTTATGTGAGGAGCGATAAATTTCGTGTTAAACTCCTCTCGACCCAAGTGTTTTTACATCCCTATTATCTTTATTGCTGGAATGTCTCTAAGCAAGTCCTCAATGATTTATAGAGCATGCCAATGAAGCCAAGCCTAGATGTATTATTTTATATCTATTGCCATGTTCTTTCCAACTTTGTAGCCATCCAAATTCCACAAGAACCAGAATATGGTTGTCAAATTTTAACTAAAAGACAAAGCTTGGATCAAGCCTAAAATTTCACGATTGTACTACTGTAGTACACACAATAATAGAGAGCCTCATGCAGCAACTTGTAGAGTAGGGAAATGAACAGCCTATGAAAAAAAAAATCATCTTCCACTGATTGATTTACATGGTGTATTTACAAGTTACAGTGTGATAAAAGAAGCCTTAGACACTCTCAACCTCTGATAAGCTTTTGCTTATCGGGGCGACATCTTCCAAGTACATAAAATTAGTAAAAATGTACACTTTTTTTTAATGGAAAAGCTAAAATTCTTACACATTCGTATCGCAAAATTTTCCATCCATCCGGTTTTGAACAGCTTTGATAGCAGCAACTCGAGCAGCAGTGGCAGCTTTGTTTGCAGCCTGAACTGCTTTGTTCACTTGATCATCCACCCGGCGAAGGCGAATAGCACTTTCAGCTGTTTTTCTTGCAGCCTATGGTTTCAAAATAATAAAAAAGAGTCAGAAATAAGCGATTGGTTATCATGAAGTATTAACAAAGGAAGTTAAGACTTAAGACTTCAAATCATATACCTGAATGGCTCTAAGGACTGCATCGGTTAGTGGAGCTAGAGGAGTCTTAAGAGTACCAACATCCCATTCACCGCATTTTGCATCGCCGTTTCTAAAAGTATACATGCCATAACCTTGCTTCCGGCCTTCATGCCATGACCCTTCATAGCAATGGCCATTGGCGAAGTGGTAAACACCAAAGCCATGGATTTTGTCTCCAAAATATTCACCAGCATACCTATCCCCATTTCTGCAATGCAATCAGTTTCATAATCACTATTGATTTATATCAAACCAAAAGAAGAAATGCATTGTGCATAATATCATGGTTCAATAACCTTGAGTTGCAGAATAACAGTCTATCAAATATTCAAGAAGCTATTAATTATGACTAACCATATAACTTATTCAAATTTTATCTAAAAATGGATATCAAAATCCTCGGATACAATTCAAAAAATCATAAGTTGGCTTTTGAGAAGCACCACCGTGAAAAATGAAAAGAAATAATATTTATCCCATAAACGCCATTGTCTATTGTTTTAAAAATGACACCTCATAACAAACCATAAATAGTCCAAACTGAAAAGTCAATAATAAGAGAAATAAAGAATTCCGTTTGATCAATAAGTCACCTGGAAATCAATAATAAGGTTGCCATGTTAAATCACAACCATAACTGCATATTTATGAAAATAATTCATAAGGCTGAAGTTCCTATAGCTTTATTAATTATGAGTAGTCTAAACAGTAATTCCACAAGAATCAACATGGTACCCAAAAACCATAATCAAAAAATAATTAGAAAATATAACAGAAATTGAGTTAAGGAAATTTCCTGATATGGTAAAGCCCACAAGAAACTAATGAAAAATTCAGTACTACAAGTAAAATTGAACTGTTTTATCACTCAAGAAAAAGATGTGAAAATAGTAAATCCAATAACCAGAATCCAAAGGAAAATAACATAAAAAGGAAAAAAGCAAAAAAAAAAAAAAAAAAAAGCAAAAAGCAAAAAAAAAAAAAAAAAAAGGTCCCAAAATAATATTCCCAAGCCAAAAATTAGAAAAAGAATAAAGGGAAAAATTACCTAAAAATGGTAAACACCAAAAGTCCATGCTTGACACCTAATACTTGATATTAAAAAAAAAAAAAAAAAAAAAAAAAAGGTCCAAAATAATATTCCCAAGCCAAAAATTAGAAAAGGAAAAAGGGAAAAATTACCTAAAATGGTAAACACCAAGTCCATGCTTGACACCATACTTGAATTCACCCACATAGCAGCTTCCATCAGAGCAAGTCTGCACTCCAACACCATGGCTCTGCCCATTACACCACTCTCCAGCATAAGAATCTCCAGTGTAGAACTTATAAACCCCAAATCCATGCCTTAAACCTTGTCTATATTGACCTCTATACCTACTCCCTCTAGCCCAACTCTCTATACCAAATCCGTCATATCTCCCATCAATCCAATCACCCTCATATCTTCCATTGACAAAATAGTTATAAACTCCACTGCCATTGCATTTGCCTTTGTGAAATTCTCCTTCATAGAAATCCCCATTGCTATAAAACTCTACTCCTTCTCTTATAATCTTCTTCTCCTTCCGGACTTTGTTGGTATCAGAATTTGACTCGCCGATAAACCATTGAATCTGCTTTGATTTGGTTCTTGAAGAGCAAAGACTGAGTCTTTTTGTGTTTTCTTCCCATAACTGCTTGATTACTATTAAATTCTGGTTAATTAAGTTCTTGTTCTTGCTTGCAAAGAAAAGGGTTATAGCAATGAAAATTAAAGCTAATAAAAGATTCTCTGATGTAGGTATTTCTTCTCTTCTCAAATAGAAGAAGAAAAAGAAGGAAAGCGAGAAGAGAGTAAAGAAAGTAAGCGAAATCATAGTAAGAACAGGTGTGAACCGAGCCGAACCGGTCCTTCTTGGGGTTGAACCAGACCGGTTGAGCTTTCTTCTATCTTCTCTTATTTTATCTTCTAATTCTTGCTTTTGTTGTTGCTGCTGCATCTGCTCCGGTCTGATAAGGTCCTCTTCTGCAACATAAGTGAGGCTGTGGATGGATGATCGGACGGTAGGGAATGAACGGAGAAGTGACGATTGGTTTCTTGTGAGCTTCGCTTGGCTTTTCTGGCCATCCATTTCTAGGCGTGCGTCCGAAAGGAGATCCAATCTCCACCGTTGAAATTAAATCTCCTAGTGGGCCGTCCTGTACCGCGAGATTCTGATAATTGTTGTTGTAACTGTTCCCGCCGACGACATATCTCAGAGAGCGAACGTTAAGCAGTGGCGGAGCTCGCACGTTAGCACACGAAGGAAATAGAAACTATAAAGAAAGTTCCTTTCTTTTCTTTCTCTGAGATAGAGAGAGAGAGAGACAGAGAGTGTGCCTGTGTGATTTTTTTGAGTTGTGAGAGAGAGGCTTTGGACCGGGTTTTGGTTAGCCTTTATGGTGTAACGGGGAGGAGGAGGGAGATTTAATCTGGTACGTTGGATGAGAATCTGACGGTGGAAGTAAAGAGTGAACTTTTTAGCCGTTGGATTTGATCTGGGAGGTCCCGGTCTTGACGGAGAAATATGATGTGGTCGTCGGATCTAGATTCGGCCCTTTTTCTCTTTACTGTGGCAGGCCGGCACGTGCCACAATATTTTAAAACAGAGAATATTTTCCATTGCGACTTGCGTAGTTGCGTTCATAATTTTATTTTATGGCATTCGTTCAAAAAACAACGATAACAATAATTTTATATGGAATCATCGCCGTTGAAACTTGTGGACCATACTCATATCACCGTGAAAATGATTTTCTTTTTATTTAGTAGTATCACAAATAAATGGTTCAACATAGTAAAATTGTTTTTTTTTTTTCTAATACTACTTGTGTCCCCCTCTCAGCTAAACTTAATTCAGCTCGCGCCGTGTCTTAAACATTTAGTCTCTTATTTAAAGGATCTTAGTTCTTTCTATTCAGATCAATCCCGTTAAAAAATTTATTTTTTATTTGATTAAAAACAAATACAACTGGCTCATCAGAATATAAAAAGTAGTTTATGATAAAGAATAAGCTAAGATGCAATTTATATCCTTCATGTAATGATGTTAATTTCAAGTTCATATGCACTAGAATATTAACTAGTTTCGTGTTGTATGTAATATTAATTGAGTTATTGAACAATTTTGAATTACTTATTTTGAGGCTATTTGACAATATTAATTTTTTAGCTATTAGCTGTTTATATATCGGTTTAAATTATTATTTTGTTTCATCGTACTTGTCACATTTGTTTTTTAAAAGAGTAATAAATATTTATTTTCATGTTTACCCTTTACACATGACCAATAATTATTAATTCAATTTAATGATTCTTAGAGAATTAATATTAAATTAAGGGTAACATAGTTAATTTACTCAATAATTTATTATAACTTACACAAATTTAATGATTTTCTTGAATGACGTGAAATTTCAAATGTGATAAGTATTATAGAATAGATGTAGTATAGTTAATTTACTCAAAAATTTATTATAACTTACACAAATTTAATGGTTTTCTTGAGTGACGTGAAATTACAAATGTGATAAGTATTATAAAACAGATGTAGTATAAGTGTTCGATAAAAATAGTTGTTTAACTTAAAATGACAAAAATGAACATTAATTGTTTAATTAGATTAAAATGCCACCAAATATTACAATGAATAGAAATAAAGTTTTTATTTAATTAAAACGCTAAAAACTAACTTCAAAGTTATCGCATAACAGGACCTTAATATCACAAGTTTTTCTCAAACCAAATATTATAATTGAGTATTAGGAATTTTTCATAGGATTAAGCACTAAAATACTTTTAAATTTGAAATAATTGAGTTTGACTTATTCTACTTGATTGAAATGCTAAAAAATTTTGAAATATATGATTATTTTAATAGTTGCAATAGAATGGTGGGGTTTTGTATAGTTAAACTTTCATAGGTTAATTATATTTATGGTGTCTATTTTTTTTTTTAGTGTTTGAATGAAAAAAATTTGTAATTAAAGTGTCTAAATTATTCAAAAATTTACAATTTTGCCAGATTATTTAACTGAAAAATAAAAATGAACCTTTTACTTAATAAACAACATCAAACACAAACATTCATTCAATTTATGTCTTTTTTTTTTTTTTTGATTTTTATTGTCTTATATATATTCTCTTTAATATAAAGTTTCATAAATTCCTTCTAATTTTCTTTTAATTTCAAAAATATCCTAAATGAAAAAGAAATGAATAAAAAATAAAAGCAATAATCTAGAAAATTAAATAAAGCGAAGTGAATAAATAATTCATTTTAATTTTTTCGTGAGAAATTTCAACTTAATGCATTTAGCTGTATTAAAATTATCAATTCAAATCACTTAATTACAAATATTTTACCATTAAACACTAAAATAGAAAAAATTATAAAATTTTAACACTAAATTTATAATTATTTCTATTTTATTCACGTAATTTATAGCCCCAAATTTGAGTCAATTTTCGAAACTTAAAACATTAATATTGAACCCCACGGTATTATCTTGACTTTATAATTACCGTCGATTTTACCATTAACAATTTTGACGGTGGAGATAAAAAGTGTTGGAGACTGGTGGGGATTTTGATGGGATGTCACGTGAGGGAAAGGTAATGAATTTCTTGGAAGTAATTATCACGGCTCACAGGGGCGGTAGACGTGCCTATTAATATTATGAGTATACACAAGTTTGGATTAAGGAGGTTAATTAAATGATTAATCACTTTAATTAATGACTTATTATTATCAAAGCCCAAAAATCATTTTGCCTTTTTCTAGGGGCACATAGATTCTTTACTGCTTCAACTTTTTCATAGGAAATATCAATACTTCAAAAGGATTCAATAGTATTTTTTCTAAATATTCCTAAATAGTTTGTGACATTTTTTAGAAAAAATCAAATTCAAAATTTTAAAAAAACTATATACAGATATAGAATATACATTAATATATTTCTATATTACAGTGTTCAATTTCTTTTATATAGGGAAAATTACTTATTTAAAAAGAGATGAAAGTTGCAATTCCTTAGTTAAATAATTAAGTACCTCTTCCGTCCCGTTTTGTTTACATGGTTTGACAAAACACATATATTAAGAATTTAGTCAATAAAAATTATTTTGACATTTTTTACTCTTAATCCATTAAGATATTAATAAATGTACTTCATTTGATGAACACTCATAAAAATTATAATGAGAAAAATAATTATTTAAATATATAAATTTAAAAATCTTGCAAACATTTTGAGACATCTCAAAAAGGAATAACAATCAAATAAAATGAGACAGATAGAGTATTATTTATCGCGTTGTCAAACAATGCATGATATGTTTGAGTTAGATATTTATATCATTTCTAATGTCGTTTTTCATTAATATAGTTTTATTTTTGAAAAATTAATCATATTAATCAAACATATTTAAACTATATTTTATGAAAAGTAATTTTTTTAAAAATGTAGTTACAGAAAAATAAACTTCTGTTTTTCTTAAAATAAGATGATAGTATCATTCTGTTTTAATGGCTTGAGTAGTTCGTTAAAGAGAAAACTTGAAATGAAGAAAAAATATTAAAGAAACATAAACTTGATACCTAGACCTTAATACATGTAAAATGCACTAAAAATAAAGAAGACAAAGAAATTGATTAAGATTATGTTCGGCAATAACTTTTTAAATAATTAATCAAAATGCTAAATGTTTAAACAGTTGTTTGGTAACATATCATTTGTATTGGCTTTTAGATGTTATGACAGTATTTTGTAAAAAGTTAATTTATGTAACGTTTAGCTTTTAGCATTTTATGAAAAGTTACTTAAACAGTTAATAACTAAACGCTAGTAAAATAACTAACAACTATTAAAACAATTAATTTTACCAAACATAACCCTAAATTAAACTTGTGCCATCAAATATATGAAAATTTTTAAACAAATTGATTGTCCCCTTTACCAATCATTTTAATACTAATTTAAAAATTGTTTTCTTTCAAAAAAATGTTTTTTTAAAAAATAAGCAGTTCAAATTGTCATATAAAAAGCTATTTAAATAATTGAACCGAACCGACTCAAATTTATTTTTAAAAAGAATTGCTTGTCATGTATTTCGTTTTTTTGCGTTTAAAAAGAAAAAGAAAAGGAAGGAGAAGGAGATGACAACGAGGCTTTAGAAAATTTTCCTACATATTCTACTTTGATAACTTAGATGGGAAAAAGAAAATTTTTCTGTATTGCCGTTGATTTAAGTTCAACCACTCTTATTCTGAGTTGAATATTGAAAATGTACGGTTTTACCTTCGGAAAAAAAAAATAATCACATAACTTGATTTTTGTAAGGACATGGATTTACTACATTGAGGTAAAATGATAAGCCAAATTCAAAATTTATATCTGTTTCTGAAGTTTCTATCTTGGATGACAAGACAATTGCGTGACTGGAGAGTCGGTCAAAAGGGTAAATGACTGGCTCTCTTTCATTTCATCAAATTTAGAAATTGTAAGATAAAAGGAAAAACAAAAATTTAGGTAAGCTTATGTCCAAATTTTTTTTTTTTTTCACATAAGATAAAATATTTAGGTGTGCAGTGATCTCATTTTACAGAAAAAGAGTGAAGAATAAAATGTTTTAAATTTAAATTTTTGAATATTTTCGGCCATTATAATTGGTAAGTGAATTTATTTTCATCTTATTAATCGAATATAACATTTAATAGAATTATAAACTGATAAATCATAGAATGAATTATTGAATTATAAAAATTAGATGATGTCATGTGATTTTGTATCCGCTAAATTCACGAGTTGCATATTATATAAAAGTTAACCCGTGATGAAACATTTTTGCTATTTTTAAAAAAAATGAATATACAATTTGTAGGGAATTAATTAAGCATTGATTTATCTCTTTATTTTTTTTTTTTAAAATGAATATACAAATTAATTGATAATGTATCAACATAATAATAATAAGATATCATATCGGGAATTATAGTTTATACTTCATCTTTAGTAGGTAGTAGGTACATTAAACATTGGTAAACAATATATTTTTTTAAGTATGATTATCTTTGTCGGAGACAATTAATTGTCAACATTTGCAGGCACCAAAATGGATATTTACTTGAAAACAATATTATTAATTAATCTAAAACACTATTTAAACCAAATGATGTAACTTTTTTTTTTTTTTAAAGTAAGAGGATAGGTATTTTTCTCCATAAATATATAATAATAATAATTAAGTATTTTTCAAAAATACTTTTCATAGTCTAAAAAGCAAAGCAAGTGGACTATTTGTTAACCAATATGTATAGAGTTGGAGGCTTGCACACATTAAGGAGGTTGAAAGATATGTTTTTGGAT